TGATGCCGCTTGGCACAAGAGGGGCGGTTCAAGGGCAAGGGGGCATGCGTGGACGGCCCGGATCGCGGCGGCGGCGGCGGCGAGCACGCTCCGTGATCGGTGAGGCGCCGGGCGAAGGGCGCGTCGGGTGACGGGTCGAGGGAGCAGCCCACAACCGGCGTCGTTTTTGAGCGACGCCTGTGGTACGCCTGCGCAGGGGCCGCAGGGCGGTCAGTTGTGGGGCGAGGCGGTGCCGGCCGCGGGCCGGGTGCAAGGCGCCGGCCTCGGCGCCGCCTCGGCGCGCCGCACGGGCGCGGCGAGCCTCTGAGCGGGAGCCGAAGGTTTGCTGTGGTAGGTGGGAGGGAGGGAGGCGGTAGGTGGGGTGGTTTGACTTTGCCGCAGAGGCCGTCCCTAGCTGTGAACAGCAAAACGGGACAGTATAGTAATGAAGAAATATTGCTCGGCCGTTCACGAAGTCCGTCTCGATCTGGAGGAGACGGGTCAACCCCGTGAGGACCAGATCAGGTTCACATTGTCGTAGCCGGAGGGGATGTTGACCTTTAGCTGTTGGGGCCACCCCGCCGCTTTGGTTTTTTTCCCACAGACCACTCGGGCAACTTTTACCAAATGCCAAAGTTGCACTTTACCACTCGGGCAAATTCGATTGCATTTTACCACTCGGGCAAACTCGATGAAACGGGCGGACGGAAAACGCGTTCGCGGCCGCTCGCCGGAGAGCTATGCATGAAGCGGCCGGCGCGCCGCCGCAGCTCACCGATGGAGCCTGCGCCGCGGCTCAATCCGCTGACGCAGCAGCAGCGCGACACACTCTCCAAGCACGGCCTCTGGCGTTGCGATTAAGGATGTGTATAAATATTGAATATATTGCTCCAATACTTAGAGGCGCAGTCAATCTCCAATATATTGTCAATACTTAGAGGGGGTTGGCCCTGGTCTGGTCGGGGTGGACTCCGTTTCCAGCGATGGGAGGTCCATCCCGGGCTTGAGGACGCTCGAAAATCGCCTTAAATGGGCCAAAATCGCTTGAAAATCGCGATTCGCATCAAAATCGCTTTCTGCCATGCTTTCTACTCGCAAATCTTTCGAATTCAAGCCACCACATAGGCGATGTTTGGGTCAAATTTCAACATTTTATGCTTTTTGTTAAAAATCAGCGATCAATACGTCAATATATTGTCAATACTTAGAGGGAAGGCTGTCAATATTCAATATCAATACTTAGAGGGGCGAGAATCAATATTTATACACATCCTTAGTTGCGATTGCACTGAGAGCGAGCAATAGGCGACAAAAGCACTGATCTGTGTGCAGTGGATCTCCATGGCGGTCGCGCCCAGCGAGATGACAACCGCGGGCCTCGGATGCTCGCCCGGACGCGGACCCACCGTGCGAGTTGCAGACCCGGAGGTGGCTGACCCAGCTCACCCCCAGAGAGGCCATGCCCAGGGTCAGGCATAAAAGGGGGGTGTTTTTCCGTCCGTCCAATCAATTCGCCTCTTCCGACAGGTATGTATGTATCTGAGGAGACGATTCAACTTTGGTGGGGGGAGCCGCTTTGTCCGTGGACGGCAAATCGTGGTACGTGGAGTATTGGGTGCGCGACGCGATCCACTTCAAACTCTGGATGACTCCGCGCCGCGCCACAAGAGAAGTGCACTAGACCACAGCCACTCGCCCCAACGACGCTGTCCCCATCTCCTCGCGAAGCCGACCCGCCCGCGGCGGACCCCCCAGCTCGGTCCTCGCATGAAGCGGCCGCGGAGGGCTCCCGGGGGGTGTCTGAGAAAGACGGATTTACGTGGGCTGTGGGAGATTTACTGTCGACCCAAACGACACTGTGGCGTAATCCTCTCAATGGCTAAATATTTACCGAGCCGTTTTATCCACCCTTCTACTGGAGATATATCGAGATTTGTTCACCATGAAGCAAAAGGGAAAAGAATTTTACAAAAAGCTCCCTCGCACGACAACTGGGCACGGGACTGGCGCGCACTGGCACTAACACAGGTACACCACGCCCATCTCGTTCGTGCGTCGCCCATCTCACGGGAGCCGCCTAAGCGACTCCTGCGAGGACGGCGAGGCACTTAGCTCCGTCCGTGCACTCGACCGCCCTCGCCGCAGGCAAGCTCATTCACAATCTGCTCTGCGATGGCTGTGTGAAGAACGACTGAGATACGTGCTTCTGCAGCTCTAGCCAAAAGGAAAAAGAATTTTACAGCAATAAGAAAAAGACATCCACCGTGCGCCACGACCCCGGCAGAAGCGTGTGGCGGCTGAAACGCAACATGGCGAACGCGCTGAGCTACGACAAGTGGAACGTCATCGATGGCGTCAGCTCCGATGACGACGAGTCAAAGGGCGCCGCTCGGCCGCTGCTCGCGGGCGGCAAGTCGCACGCACAGCACCAGGCGGACGAGGCGATGTACGAGGCCTTCAAGCAGCGCTTCAAGGAGCACTTCAAGGGCCGCGCGCCGCTGCGGCAGCGCAAGCTGCTCGCGCGCTTCGTCGCGATGCAGCACCGCTACGCCGAGCCCTCCAACACCTTCCGCTATGCCGACATCATCGGCATCGTCACGCAGCGGCATGAAGAGCTGATGGAGCCCTCGTGCGTCAGCCTGCTCTGCGACTTGCAAAAGGCGCTGCTTAAACAGGCGCAACCGGAGGGCGGCGCGCCCGAGGATGCAGCCGCGCGCGCGCACGCGCAGATCGCGATGGAGGCATGCTTCGAGGGCGACGCAGGCTCCCTCTCCGGGACCTCCCTGGACCGTTCCTGGAGGCCTCCTCTCAGGCGATCAACACGCTCGAGGCGGTGCAGCGGCACCAGCCCGTCACGGCGCTCTTCGAGAAGCTCTGTCTCCCCTCCTAGATGCGAAACACAGGTCCTCGCTCTCGCCCGCTGCAGCCCGCACACGCGGCACTCCAACTCCACGCGGCACTCCAACTCGCACTCAGTGAGAGGACGCGCTCTGCAGCCGTGATCGCTGCATGGCTGCGAGAGGCGAGGAAGAACGCGGCGAATAGGCTCGCCCTCCAACTCGCCGGCCGCGCGCGCGCTGTACGAGCGGTACGCGCAGCTCGCCTTTGCAAAAGTCGCCCTCATGCGCTCTGTCTTTGGCGACGACGAGACGCTGCGCGACGCGGAGCGCGACTTTCTCGGCGAGGGGCCGCCAAAGGCGGCGGGCGGCGGCGGGGCCGGCTGTGAGAGTGCCGCCGTCGTGGCGGTCTTCATCGCGCTGCTGCTCGCGCTGGGGTGGGGCCTTGCCCGGCTGCTGCAGGGGGTACTGTAGCAATGAGCATGGAGGGCGAGCCCACGTGGTTATCAGTAAAGTGCGCGGGTTTGTTTCTTCTGCGTGTGTCCGGCGCGGCTCTCCTTTAGCCTTTGCGCGGCGCGCACGCCGGGCGGGGGGCGGACCGCGATCGATAAGCTTCGATACTGCGCGGGTGCGGCGCCACGCAGCCCCCCCCCGCCCCCCCCCGGCCCTGTGCCGGGTGCCGCGCGCCCCGACCTTTGTCACATGGAGCGTGCGCCGAAAAGAGCGAGTAATGTGGCGGTCAAAGAGGAAAACGCTCTTACAATTCTATGATAGCGAGCTCGAGCTGCATCCTGCACAAGGCACAAGGGTGGGGAAAAGTGCAACTCCCAGTCCCACACCGATATTCGATCCTACACATGTACATGTGTCTAGAGACCAAGAGAGAGTCGACCGTAAAAATAAAAAGAGAGATATACATCATAGATCTCATTATCCGACAATGCGACAAACCCAAACGTACTGGCGCAACATCGCGCACCGAATCTCATGCGAGGGTGGGAGAAGGCCGCCGCGCCAGCGCATCTCGCCGGCGAGCGACCTCAGCAGCAGACGGGAGAGAGGGGGGGAGAGGGGTGCCGGTGGAGCGGGCGCGCTTAAGCGCCGCGCCATGTGGCGAAACAGAGGGACTCGGTCGGGAATGTCCTCTTGTCAAGCGGCCCACGCGTCGCAACTGTCGGCGAGCGCCTCAACGTGCGAGCGGAACGCCGGCCACTCCGCAAGGGCGAGCCCGGCTCTCGTCTCGAGGATGGCGCCGCTTGCATCCAGGACAAGGAAGGTTGGCACCGCGGTAATCTCGTGGAACTGGAACGCCTCAGCCGTCGTCTTGCTGCTCTCAAGCGAGAAGAACCGGACGTCGCGCCGCGCAGCCGCGAGCCGTCGCGTGCGAGGCAGCAGAGCCCTGCACGCGGCGCACTGCTTGCTGCCAAAGAGAACAACGGAGATACCGCCCTCACAGGCCGAGGCAGTCACCGCGGCGCGCAGCTCTGCTGGCGATGGGATCTGCTGGACCTGCATCGCGAGGAGCGACGAGCGGAGCGGCGGCCGCAGTGGCGGCGGCGTGTTGAAGGCGGCGGAGCCGCCGAGGAGCAGTAATAGCGTCATGGTTGGCGTGCCCCAGTTGCGAAGGCCTGCTGCGGCCGGACGAGTGGCCGACGGCATCGAAGTCTCCTTGAGTACCCGACAAATGGACAAATGGACGAAAAGGACGTGACACAGAAAAGAATTTCACTAGCATTCCTTCTACCTACCTACCTACCTTCCTAACAATAAAAAGCTACTAGAAGCCGCTGCGCGGGCCCCGCCCCCAGCTCGGGGGGGGGGGGGGGGCGGGGCGGGGCCCTTGCGAAGGAGAAGAGGCCAGAGTTGTACAGCAGCGGACGATGGACAACGAAGGTCGAAGCATTAGAGGCTTGATAGGAAAGGTCACACACAGACGATACTCGTAACTCGAGAGCACAAACGATATCGAATCGCCGCACTTTTCCCGAGGGGTAGAGATGGTGTTGCGCGACACTCGTCCTGCCTATCTCCCCCCATCCTCACATGCTAGCTTGAGCACTTGAGCACTGGATAGGGCCGGTTCCGCATGGTACGGGACCCCTCGATCGTCTCGCCCTCCCTCACTGGTGTGTTCATTGGGGGGGGTCATAACAAACACGGTACAGGATCGAGGTGCACGCTGCCGAGGCAGTATCGTCCCCCCTCTCCCCGACGGCGATGGCGGTGACTCGTACACCCCGGTGCGAGTTAATGCGCATTTCTCTTCTCTGCACAATAGCCCTTGAGATAAAGGGCTCGCATTATGCAAACCTGTGTGCCTGTGTCCTAGGAAGTAGACCGAGAGGGGTACTCCCATCTCCCATAGGCAAGAGGAGGTCTGGAGAGGCCCACACCCCACAGCGGTCAGGAGAGGCCCCAAGACGCAAGAGGGTGCTAGATGATAGTCTAAAGTTCTAATCACAGTGGGTAGCCTACCCTGGAACGTGGAAGAACGCGAGGTGGCATGTGAAGAGGTTGCTGCGAGAATTGGTGAGAAACTGCGAAGAGAGATAGGAAGTGGTAGACGCCCGAGGGTGGGCGACGGCTAGCACCACACTTCTCTCCTTAAAATCCCTGTGTGGTGGCGGCGTGCCGCGGTTAGAGGGCCCACAGCGTCCTAATCTAAAATCTGAGGATTGAGGATTCAGCCTTCGCTTTAGTGAGGCCAAAGTGAGTTTATGGATGGGTGAGAACGATGCGCGACACGAGGAGGCACACGCACCGACTCGTCGGCGACTCTGCTGCACGCCGTTTCAGAATTTTTCTCAGCGTGAGCGAGACGTGGAAGAGTGCCACCGTCGGGTAGGACGGGTCGGCCCGGCGCATCGGAGTAGCCGTCGTGGTCGCGGCGAGCAGCGCCGGCCACTCCGGCGCCGCGTCGGCAACATGGGAGCATGTCCACCGCCACTTCGCGGTCGCAGCGCTGTTTGTCGCCCAAAACGCCGCCTATCCCTCTGGCGGGCCAAAGATCGCCTCGCATGTCGATTTTGACTCGACGGGGGCATGGAGGCATCACGTCTCCATGCCATCGTCAAGTCGGAGCCAGTCTGCGGCGACCACAGCGCTCACCGCAGGGATAGGCGAGCTTTTCAGAGTCAAGCGATTGCGCGAAATCCCACACTCGTGGATTTTGGGGCGCTGTGGGCCCCCTACCGCGGTCCTCCCAGATGCATCCGAGGCCCTTCGTGAGTTGCCGGTTTTCTTTCTTTCTTTGTCGACCGCGCGCCCGGCCGCGGAGAGAGCGCCGGGTCCGTCCCAGCCGGTGCCTCAACCTGGCGACCACCTCCACGCCTCCTCCTCTGTCCGCAGAGCGTCGGGGCTGGAGAGACCGACTCACTTGACGGACTCACTTCCAGATGTGCGACGCGTGCGGAGGCAAGGCGTACCCACCCCAGTCGGACGACCACAGGGTCGACCCCGCGGCAGAGGCCGCCGCTGCTCCTCCCCCCTGCATCGACTCGTCCAAGCCGAAGGGGTGCGGGACGCACGTCCCGGGCGCAGCTGCGTCGGGGAGGGGGCGCCAGTCGAGCCCCGCGCCTAACGGAAAGGACAGCGGATCCGACTAGAAGACGGAGGCCGTGGAAGCGGGTCCCGCAGTTAGCCCCGCGCCGTCCCCCGTCCCACCGCCGCCGGGCGCCAGCTCGCCGTCCGGCGCAAGCTGCACGCGCTGCCCCGCGGCGGGCGCCGCGCCGTTCGACTCGGTGAGGCAATCTCCGCACGCGGCAGCCTGGGCCGCGAGGGCGGCAACCTGTGCGAGCAGCTGTTGCGCGCTGTTCGCCGCTCCCAAGCCGTGCTGCCCGGACGCCGCCGCCAGCATGGAGGGAGGGGCGCCCGCCACGCCGCACGTCTCTTTCCCCGCCTCCCTCTCGATCGGATCGTCGAGGAGCGACATCGGCACCGCCCCCGCCCCGCTGAAGAATGCGGGCAGCGGCGCGGCGCGCTGCGACGCCGCGCCGCCGCCTCCCGCCGCCGCCGCTGCGCCGAACGGGTCGTCGAGCACGCGCAAGCCCGACGCGGCTGCGCGGCTATCGCCAGGCTGCTGCGGCGCGGCTGACGCCGCCGCGAGGCTCGACAGCTGCTGCGGCGTGATGAGCCCGCCGAGCGTGCCGCTGCCGAAAGCGGTCGCGCGCGTCGGTGCGGCGGGAGCAGCCGAGAGGTGGGTCGACCCGTGTGAAAAGAGGCCTCCGCCGGGCAGCAGCGGCGCCGCGGCTGCTGCGGGCGGGGCTGGGGGAGGGGGGGCTGGGGGAGGAGGGGCTGGGGGAGGGGCGGGCCACGACCCTCCTCCCGTCAGCCGGCGCGGAAGCGGCAGACCGCGCGGCTCCGGCGGCGCGGCGACCGGCGCGACTCGCGCGGCGGATCCGGCGGCGGCGGCGGCGGCGGCGGCGTGCGGCGGTGCGGCGCACTGAGGCGAGGCAAAGACCGGCGGGCGCGGCGGCGGTGGCATCGCGCCGCGGCTGGCGCAGGCCGTGTCCGTCCTTGCGGTCGCGTTTGAGTCGGCCGAGACATGCGGCGGCGCCACGGCCTCGGGCGGCGGGGCGGGCGAGCGCGCTGCCGTGAAGGAGGCGCTGCCCTCGTCCCACTCGAGAGGGAGCTGGGCGCCGTCGCCGCGCGCTCCGCTGTCGGCAGCGCTCCACGCACACGGCGCGCCGGCGAGGAGGCGGAGCGCCGCGAAGATGGTTGCGCCGTGTGCGCGGACCAAGCCGCTAGCGTCGCCAGCTCTTACGCTGCCGCCGCCCACCGAGCCACCTGCCGCCCTCGCCTCGGAGGCGAGCGCGGCGTCGAGCGGCGTGAAGCCGACCAGCCGAACGAGCGCGCCGCTCACCGGCGGCGGCGATGCGGCGGCGGAGCGGGCGGAGGCGGGTAGCCCGTTTCCAATCTGCGCGAGGGCGTCTGCGTACTCGCGCCGCGCCTCAGGAGCGAGGCACGCGAGGCGGTGGTTGGAGTGGGCGGACCACAGGGCGAGCGGCGCGAGGGCGGCGAGCAGGGCGGCGAGAGGCCGCTCGGGGCCGACCGCCGCCTTTGGGACGGCGGGCGCGATCGCGCAGACGATGCCTTTGAGCAGCTCCGCCGCGAGCGCCTCGGTAGCGGCGGCGGGCTCGGACGCGGGCTCGCCCTCGCCGCCGACGCGGGGAGGCAAGTGGAGGGAGCCGATGCAGACCAGCAGCGCGGTGCCAACTCGCGTTGCTTTGAGCCGCCCGACCCGCGCGCACGCGCGCAGCCGTTGCAGCAGCTCTCGCCGCAGCTGCGCGACCGCCGAGGGAAGCGATCCTCCGCCCGAGGGGCGGCGGAGGTGGAGCAGCGCGTGGAGACGGCACAGACCCGCCTCCCACCTCGCCTCTTCGGCCGCCCATGCGTCTGCAATCGCGTCGCCGCTGCCGGGTGGCGCATCGGACGCGCCGAGGGAAGCGAGGGCGGCCGAGGGCGGCGGCGGAGGCTTCTCGGACACGAGCGAGCGGCAGAGGCGCTCGAGGTTGTCCCGCGCCGTCGGCACGAACGGGGCCGGTGCGAGCAGCGCGCGCATGTACCCGCACAGCGCGTCCAAGTTGTCGGAGCGGTGCGTCGCGAGGACGGCCAGCTGGTTGTGGCAGTTGCCGAGCCGCGGTGCCAGGCGCTGCGCTTGCCAGTAGCAAGACTCGGCGGAAGCCGCACACGCGCCTGCTCCGCCGGCCCGCTCGCCGCTCGTCGCGCGGTACCGCTCCAGGTCCCCCAAGTAGACGAGACACGACGCGCACAAACCTACCGCCGCAGCCCGCCTCGCCGCCTCTGCGCCGGCCTCGCCACCGCCCTCGCCGCCACCGCCGCCGGCGCCGGCGCCGCCCTCGCCGCCCTCGCCGCCGTCGGAGCGCTCGCCACAGCTGGCGAAGGCGCGCAGAAACGCATGCGCGACATCGCCGTCGCCCTCGCCGCCCTCGCCGCCCTCGCCACCCTCGCCGCCGCCCTCGCCGCCGCCGGTGGGCAGCAGCCGCCCGAGCTGAACCCCGCCCAGCCGCCCGAGCTCGGAGACGAGCGCCTCGTAGAAGGAGCGCGCCTCGTCGAGCGTCTTGGCCAGCCCGGCGCTCGCGCGGCGGAGCGACTCGCGCGCCGCCTCGTCCTGCGGGTCGGGCGGCAGGCCCTCGCGGCCGCCGCCCGCCCGCCGCTGGCGGAGGTGATCCTTGGCCTTGCGCGCCTTGCGCCGGAAGAGCTCGATGTTGGCGTAGAAGCAGCGCATCCACATGTGTCGGTCGACGCCCTGCGCCTGCGCGCCCTCCGAATGCTCTATCAGCAGCCGGCGGTACTGCGAGCGCAGCTCCGTCGTCGCGGCGGCCACCGCCGGGTCACGCTCGGGGCGAGAGCCGGCGCGGCGTATAGCGCTCTTGAGCCGCTCGTCCGCGACGTCGAGCTGGCGGAGGAGCATTGGGCAGTAGATATTGCACCTTCTCAGCCCCGCCGAGACTCGAGAGATCCCGAGCGACGAGGCTGTGGAACTTCCATGGCCCCAGAGAAGGTACAAAAAAGAAAAAATCTGCCGCTTGGTGAGGCCCTCATGCTGACAGCGACAGACGGAAAGCGTTACTAGAGGAGTGTGAGACACAGATCGGGAAGGCGACCTCCGAGTTCCTCGACTGTGAGGTGGAGAGAGGACAGAAATTGACGGAAAGATGGAAGAGGTGGTCGTCGAACTGCACGGCAACGTACACATCGCGGTATTCGACATCGTACACACCGAGTCAGGAAGGAAGGCGAGGGGGGGGGGAGCTTAGAGCAATGTACGTCGAGGGAGAAGAAGAGGTGACATGCCCGAGAACCAAACAGAAGGTGAAGAAGCGAAAGGTTGTCCGAGGGGGGGCAATCCGAAAGGCGGCAGCGGAAAGGGGTAGGGAGATTAATAAGAGGCGAGAGGTTGACATGAAGGCGGTAGAAAAGCTGCTAGAGCTGGCCCGGCCCACGAGGGGACGGAACGACTGAAGGAGGAGGTACTCACGTGGGCGGCGTGCGAGAAGGCCATAAGACGGTTCAAAAAGGGCAAGGCGGTCGGCTCGGACCTACTCGACGGATACCTACTGCGCATAGCAACGGAGGACATTCAAAGAGACTACTGGCGTCTGCTGGTAGAGATTGTCGAGACAGAAGCGTATCCGCGGGAATGGAATGACTGGATTGCGATGCTAGCGATGAAGCCGGGGGAGGACCCGAGTGTGTGTTCTTTTTGCTTGTGGCCGCACGTCATGATGAAATTCTGCAAAACCCTCTGGCCGGCCCCTGCCCTGCCCCTACCTACCTACCTACCTACCTTACTTATGGGAAACTAAAAAAGAAAGCACAGGATGGGTGAAGGTGGGGTACTATACCAACTAGAGTGATGGCTGGTGGTACTCTCCTGCAACCACAGTCCTTCCTGTGACATGGCAGGCCACTCTCAAGCCCTACAAGCACCAGATCACACACTTGGGGAAGGTTGACATCGTGATTTTCGCGGAAAATTTCGAAGAGAGGGGAAAACCCGACGGGAGGGCCCAGACCTACCCTACCTCCCCCGTCATGACGTACGGCCGAGCAAAAAGAACACACACTTGCGGTCGGCCAAATTTCGGGGCGCACGTCGCCAACGAGTCTCTCTGTCTCTCTCACTCTCTCTTCCCAACGAGAAGAAATGTGGCACACAAATTTCTCGTACATCCAGTTTACCCGGCAACGATTATGAGCGTCAAGATGAAGTTGTGTGAGGACGAAAACAGCTCGTACAGCAACAGATCCAGGTAATCTGGATGGAACCCGAGCACCTCAATCACCTTGGGACCATAACAGAATGTATTGGCTTCTGCCGCGGATCCATGGCGAGGTGCAAGGCGTGCCTGTCAGAGCAATCAGAGGGGTGGCCGTTCCCGCAGCACGACTGGTTCGAGTTCCAGTTGTTGTCGACGCCGAGACGGTTGACAACTTCACGGCTTGCCTTCTCCGAAGTCTTACGGAGAGAGAGTTGAGAGAGAGATTTTTAGGAGGCCAATGGTCCACAATTCACAACGCTTCCAATATTGTGTACCAGGGAGATAGGTGTGAGAGCTGTGGGAGCGGCCTCTTCAACTGAGCCAGTTAGTTGGTTTATAGAGGCGTGACAAACAAAAATCACGTGTGTGAGTGGTTGCTACTTTCATTCAACGATCGGCGTCGTGTTGGTCCCAACACTACCCGTCGCAAAACACTTGCCGTTTGCGTCGCTGGCACTAGACGTGCCACGCCCTGGAGGGCGGGCCCGGCGCCACATGGCGCCGGCCAAACCGTCTAGTGTGAAGACGAAAGACATAGCTGCGGCTGCGGCCGCACCACCCGGCGAGGCCGTGGCGGCGGCGGCGGCGGAGGCGGAGGCGGCGGAGGCGGAGGCGGTCGAGGCGGCGGAGGAGGCGGCAGAGGCGGCAGCGGCGGCGACGGAGGCGGCGGCGGCTGCGGCTGCTGCTGCTCCAACTGCTGCTGCTGCTGCTTCTGCTACTGCTGCGGTGGCGGCATCGCCCGGCAGAGATGCCGAGGCGGCGCTTCAGGCGGCGGCGGAGGAGGAGGCGGCGGCGGCGGCGGAGGCGGTGGCATTCCGGGCCAAGCGCGCGGCCCGACGGCGGGCGGAGCTCGTTGCTGAGGGCGAGGAGATCGGGGAGGAGCTGAAAGCCTCCGGGCTGGTCACAGCCTGGAGCGAGGCCCGTCCCGGCGAGCCTGGATACGCGGACGAGGACGGGGTGCCGGTGTACCGCGAGCCTGGCCCGCAACGCCACACGTACGTCGTGCTGGAGCTGCGGCCGCAACGGTCGAGCAGGGCCAGGCGCAACGCGCAGCAGAAGTCGGGGCGCGCGCGCGCCGATTCGCGGGCGGCCGGGAGGGCGCTCCTGCTGTCGTCGGACGCTTACCTCCAGCTGGCCGGGCGGGTCGCCGTGTGGAGGGAGCAGGTGGTGCGGGTCATGGAGGCGGACGCCCAGGAGGCGAAGGCGGAGGCGAACGCTCGGCAGAAGGAGCGCGTCGCTGCCATCCTCGCGGGCACGGACGCTGCGGGCGCGGGCGCGGGGGTGGAGGAGGCGCTCAATTGCTGGGAGGAGGGTGCGTACGAAGCGGAGACGCTGGAGGCGCTCGCCGAGTTCGGCGATTGAGCGCCTCCCTCTCTCTCCGGCTGCGCGCCCGACCGGTGCGGCCTCCGAGTCGGCGTCTAGCGCGCGCGATAAGGTTTTTGCTCGCCTTCCTTGGGACCCCGTGTTGCATGTCACTGTCATCACTGTGCGATTTCGGGGCCCGGGGTTGTGCGTTTACGTGAAGACGAAAAGGCTCATACACAGCACAGATCCAGGTGGAACCCGAAGCACCTCAATCACCTTGGCCCATAACAGAATACATGATCAGCACCCACCCACCCTCGTGCCCAGCTCCCTACGCCTATTTTGACGCCATCGGTTGCGAGGGCTGCGACGCGCCAAAGTACAAGGGCTGCTGCACCACGACAACGCACTACGAGCGCCCCGGGGTCGACCCGACAAAGTGGAAGTGCCACTGCGACTACAGCGACGCGTGCGAGTCGTGCTGCGGCTCGACATGCTGCGGTGCACGGTCCGTCTGCTGTGGCGACGGTGAGAGCGGCTCCTGCCACGATGTTGAGAGCGGATCCTGCCGCGGCGGCGTCTGGAAGTTTTGGCCGCCGCCACCCTCGCCGCCGCCGCCGCCGCCGCCGTCACCGCCACCGCCGCCGCCAACGCCGCCAGGCTCGCCCGCTCCGCCCGCGCCGCCTCCCTCGCCGCCATCTGCCCCACCACCGCCCAGCCCGCTTCCGTACCTGCTCGCCGTCGGCGCGGCGGTGCTGCTCTTGCTGTTGTGCGTGTTCGTCGCCTTTGCGCGTCGCCGCTCGCGCGACGCGGACCGGCGGCGCGTTGGCGAGAGAGCGCGCGCTCGCGCGGCGCTGAGTGGCCTCGCGGCGATCCGCGCGGCGGAGAGTGGCGGCGGCACCGAGGTCTCGCCGGCAAGAGGCGTCCTCGACGCTCCTCTGCTCGCGGGCCAGCCGCCCGCGGACGCCTCCAACACAAACGCCACCGTCGCCAACCAGCCGACGGACCAGTACATCTGAGCGGATTCGCTCTCGCCAGGCGTCCGGAAGACGTGAGCAAAGTAGTGCTTGGCGAGGATGAGGCGACGCGGGGGTTGTTGTTTGTTTTGTGTTCCGTGCGTGTCTGCTTGTCTTCCACAGCCTGCGAGCCCCTCCTGCCGGCTCCCTCGGGGTGATGCTCTGATAAACCCTCCGGATCTTCGACAAAGGTCGGATATTTCTTTTTTCAAAGTGCAAGGTGTGAATAAGAGGTTTATGATAGGGCTACTACGACGAACTATGCGGCAATCGACTGGTGGGCGCCTGGCGCCCGACCACCCCCGCGCAAAGACCTCGTAGTAGCCCTCCCCGTAACCGACTTGGCCGGACTTGTCCAGGCCGCTGTCGCCGCGCAGATCGGCGCGAGCAGTCGCTCGAGGGGCTCTACTGGCTGGCGGTGCTCAAGGGGAAGGCGTACACGCTGGCCGAGGACACGGTCGTCAACACCGACACCATCCCCGCGGGCTATCTCGTGGTCAAGGCGCAGTGGCTCAGGCTCGAGCAACGCGAGTGCGAGGGCAAGCTTCGCTCCTACACGCTGCTCGAGGCCGAGACGCTCATCATCGTGAATCACATGGTGCGGCTGGCGGGCTTGCGCTTCTCGCCCGGCCCGGGCGGCCCTGCGGACCGCCAGCTGAGGAGCGCGCGCGATAAGCTCTATTAAATTGGCCTACAGACGCATTACTCGCTCGAGGCGTGCTGCAGTGATACCAGTCTTATTGAACTTGTTTGGAGGCGTCGATTTGTGCAAAAATATGTGTGTTAGAGAGCGCTAGATGGCAAAATTTTCTTCGCCTCCGGCGGGGCCGCTCGCCGCGGGGCTAGAGAGTGACTTTTGTCGATGTCGGCTAGAAGTGCTGCACGTTTTTCAGAATTTCACCCTCGGCCTTGACGCACGCAGTCAGTCACGAGTCAGGGACCTCCTGTCTCCAAGTTTTTTATAGAGCAGACATCTCCAGGAGAGATCCCCACCCCCTTCTCCCCTAGGTGGTGGACAAGCCAACACGCAACAGGCTGAGCGCAATTGCCATTGGGCGCTGCGCGCTGGCCCTTCGCAGTTCGCTCTGTGGCACGACCACCACGCACCCTCCACCCAGCACCAGCCTGCAGCCACCAACACCACCAGCTCTTGGCTCTTGCCTCTTGCGAAATTGCGCTCTTCGGTGGACGAGCACCGAGAGCACACCGAGCGCGCACCGCCGCGCGCTCCCTCCGACCCTCCCCCACCTCGCCGCCTGCCAAATCCCATAAGCCATATGCGCCCCTGCTTCCGAGTATGACTCCGAGCCCGACGTTTCCGAAGCTGAGGCGCGGTTCTACACGACGCAGTTCAGGAGGCTCGTCCAGGCTTGGAACGGCGGCAAGATAAGGCAAAGGACTTGCCGGAGGAGGTGGTGGCTATGACTTTGGACCTCTGCGAGCGGTGGCGAGCGGAGCAAGAGCGGTGTAGGCGCGTCCACGCCGCGCAGCGGCTCTCCCGCGACCACAGCCCACGGCACTCACGCACGGCCGCAGCCGTAGCCGCAGCCCCAACTCTCGCCGCTCTTCTGTGTCGGGTAGTGACGAGGGGTGAGGGCACGGATTGACGTCTCAGATTTAATTTTATGTATCCAAATAAATAATATTGCAATAGAGCACACATCTCCAGGAGGTGTGTGTGTGTGTGTGTGTGTGTGTGTGTGTGTGTGTGTGTGTGTGTGTGTGTGTGTGTGTGTGTGTGTGTGTGTGTGTGTGTGTGTGTGTGTGTGTGTTTGATGTTTGTGTGTGGGGGGGGGGGAGAGAGACTTTTAGCAATACCAAACAACTCTAACACTCACACGTCATTTGGGGCCTGGATTTGTTTTGTGTGTGTGTGAGTACTCACGATGCACGTGTATTATGAGTACAATACTTGAAATACTATTGTAATCTTGAATGGGCTTGTTTGAGAGATGTTTGGAGTGTGTGTGTGTGTGTGCTCGCGCGGGCGCTAGAGCGTACCGTCGGGTACTTATTTTAAGAGCAGGTAAACAGCAATAGATCCGGCCCTCAAGCGGCCTAATCGATACCCAGCCCTCACGGAATCGGTCCCTCGTTGTACAGCAATCGATCCTTCACACTGCCCGCGCTGCCAAACTTGCTGAGAATCGGTCCCCCCACCTGTGGCGCGAAGCTGATATGTCTCCCGCGCTCGGCGCGCCGACCGCGCAACGGCGGCAGACCACCCTCCGGTTCGAGGGGCGCCTGGGGGTGAGCGGGCTGCCTCCGCCAGAGTTTGGCTCGCCCACCTGTGCGGGCCCCCCTGTACCCCCTCCCCCCCCCGGCCCGGGTGTCTAGCAATTGGTCCCTTGGCAAGCGCGAATCGGTCCCCCTGGCTCCAGGAACTGATCCGGCACTACACCCGGATCTATTGCTGTTTACCTGCTCTTAAAATAAGTACCCGACGGTATGCGAGCCGCCTTGTCCGCGGCGCTACTAGAGGTGCACCGCGGGTTGGACTCGGTGGCAGCTTCTAGAGCTCGTCCGAGTCGCTATACCCTCTACGAGGCTTCGTGAATTCGGCTTCGTTCGACTCGAGGCGGGCCGCCCGTCGTGGGGGAGCGGGCCTGTCTGTCCGCGCGCGACTCGCCCAGCTTCTTCTTGTCCACCGCCGCGGCCGCCGCCATATTTGCGTACAAATAAATAAATAAGACATCTCCTGCATATGCGTATGGATGGACACAGCGCTCCAAACGTTTTATTTTTGGCGGCGCGTCTCGAAGTGGGCGCGCTTGGGGATACACACAAAAATATGCTCTTTCTCGAGTTGTTGGTCTTGTCGGCGCCGCCCAGTCTTCCCCCTCCATCGCTCCCGTCATCCCTGTCCCCGCCGCCCTCGCCCAAGCTGCTGCTGGCGCCACCCGACCCGCCGCCGCCGCCGTCGTTGCCGCCGCCGCTGCCGTCGCCGTCACTCGCCCTACCCCCTCACGAATCGCACCGCACTTCCTTCGACTACTCATTCCACGCCACGCCTAGAAACTGGTCGACGGCAGATGCTCTCTGCCGCGACTCGGGCGGGAGCCTCGCGTCGGTCACGTCGGCCGCCGAGAATGCGCTCGTCCTCCGCCTCTGCACGTCCGCCTGCTGGGTCGGCCTGAACGATGTGAAGCGCGAGGGGCAGTGGACGTGGACGACAGGGCCAAGCGCGAGCGGCTACAAGAACTGGGCGCCGGGAGAGCCCAATGGCCAGCTGCACGAGGCGACGGATGCGGCGTACCTGTACCCTCCCGGACACGCTTTGGCTGGCTTGTGGTGAGCTGCCCCCCACCACCCACCCACGCGCGCACGCCGCTCTCTCGCGGAGACGCGCGAGCACGCAGCCTTGCACCGCGCTTTTGACCCCCGCGCGCTCCCCTTCACACACAGGGACGACTCGCACGTCAGCGAGCTCAAGCCCTTTGTCTGCCAGCACGCCGCCCCTCTCTCCGCCTCCTCCGACCGGCCGCCTCCTCCGCCGCCCCCGGCCGCGGCCTCCTGCCAGTGCGACGCGGGCAGGACGTGCGGCCTCTGCCTCCGCCACATCCACCCCAGCGAGTGCCCCGGCCCATTCGACGCGCTGGCGGCGCTTCCTCCTTGCACGAGGGCGTTCCTCGGCGCCGCGCCGGGGACGCTGTGCGAGGGAGACGGCGACTGCGGCACCGACAGCGGCGCGACCAACTGCGGCAGGTTCCACGAGGTGTACGAGATGCAGGGCTGCACAGATCCGCGGCCTCCTCCTCTCCCGTCGTTGCCGCCGCCGCTGCCGTCGCCGTCACTCGCCCTACCCCCTCACGAATCGCACCGCACTTCCTTCGACTACTCATTCCACGCCACGCCTAGAAACTGGTCGACGGCAGATGCTCTCTGCCGCGACTCGGGCGGGAGCCTCGCGTCGGTCACGTCGGCCGCCGAGAATGCGCTCGTCCTCCGCCTCTGCACGTCCGCCTGCTGGGTCGGCCTGAACGATGTGAAGCGCGAGGGGCAGTGGACGTGGACGACAGGGCCAAGCGCGAGCGGCTACAAGAACTGGGCGCCGGGAGAGCCCAATGGCCAGCTGCATGAGGCGACGGATGCGGCGTACCTGTACCCTCCCGGACACGCTTTGGCTGGCTTGTGGTGAGCTGCCCCCCACCACCCACCCACGCGCGCACGCAGCTCTCTCTCGGAGACGCGCGAGCACGCAGCCTTGCACCGCGCTTTTGACCCCCGCGCGCTCCCTTCACACACAGGGACGACTCGCACGTCAGCGAGCTCAAGCCCTTTGTCTGCCAGCACGCCGCCCCTCTCTCCGCCTCCTCCGACCGGCCGCCTCCTCCGCCGCCCCCGGCCGCGGCCTCCTGCCAGTGCGACGCGGGCAGGACGTGCGGCCTCTGCCTCCGCCACATCCACCCCAGCGAGTGCCCCGGCCCATTCGACGCGCTGGCGGCGCTTCCTCCTTGCACGAGGGCGTTCCTCGGCGCCGCGCCGGGGACGCTGTGCGAGGGAGACGGCGACTGCGGCACCGACAGCGGCGCGACCAACTGCGGCAGGTTCCACGAGGTGTACGAGATGCAGGGCTGCGACATGCCTCCTACGCCGCCTCCTCTCCTGCCGACGCCGGCCCCGCCGCCTCCTCCGCCCGCGCCACCCTCGGCGCCCCCGGCCGCGGCCTCCTGCCAGTGCGACGCGGGCAGGACGTGCGGCCTCTGCCTCCGCCACATCCACCCCAGCGAGTGCCCCGGCCCATTCGACGCGCTGGCGGCGCTTCCTCCTTGCACGAGGGCGTTCCTCGGCGCCGCGCCGGGGACGCTGTGCGAGGGAGACGGCGACTGCGGCACCGACAGCGGCGCGACCAACTGCGGCAGGTTCCACGAGGTGTACGAGATGCAGGGCTGCACAGATCCGCGGCCTCCTCCTCTCCCTCCGACGCCGGCCCTTCCTCCCATGGTGCGTGCACGTGCAGACGCACCGCTTACCCCCGCCTCTTGCACTGTCAATGCCGTCGGGCTCCTGTCTTCGGACGTGGGTATGCGAGGGCCGCCCCTCGCCGCACCCTAGGTCGTGTGCGACGCCAGCCATCGGTGCGCCGCGGGGGCGTCGTGCGGCCTCTGCCTCCGCGCCGCGGAACCGGCATGCGTGCCCCGCGGACCCGCTTTATCAACAAAACTCAACGTGATGAGACTCCAAGGAAACACCGTTGGGGGGGGTTCCCGGCGGGCCCTTTTTTAAAAAGCCTTATGCCCGCGTTCCACAAAGGGACTTTTGGGGAGCAAAAGGGGGGCGCCTTTTTAAAGGGGGCAGGGAATTTCGGGAATAACAACAAAGGGAAATACTCCCCCCGGTTCCAGGGGGAGCCCCCCCCCCCCCCCCCTTCCCCTTTGGGGTCCTCCCCCCCCCCCCCCCTCCCCCCTCCACCCTCCTCCGCTCTCTCGAGAAGACACACTCCACTGCTCGCAGGTCTACGTCAAGGTCGACTGCCTCGTGCTCCGCGTGCCGCCGCCGCCGCAGCCCCCCCCGCTTCCAGCTCCGCCGCCCTCCCCGCCCACCTCCCCCGTGCCAGCCTGCGGCGCCTCCAAATGCGACGCGGGGGCGCCCTGCGGCCTCTGCTTGCGCGCGGTCAACGCGAGCGAATGCCCGTCCTCGCAGAAGGGGCTCAGGATTCTGCCGCGCTGCACGGCGCAGCTGCTGCAGCCCCTGGCAGCGGGTGCGCTTTGCGAGGTGTGGGGCAGCAGAGCGCATAAACACTGTCCTCGCCCCGTGCTAACCGCCCACACCCGCGCCCTCAGCTCAGCCCACGCCCTCTGCTCTGTCTCCACACCCCTCGGCCTTCGCTCACTCCCTCCCTCCCCCCCCCAAAACCGACCTCCCTTCCCTTTCGCAGGCCGACGGCGAGTGCGGGACGGACCCGGCAAACACAAACTGCCCGCCCTTCCACGAGGTCTACGCAAAGGTCGGCTGTGTTCGCGCACCGCTACCGCCCTCGCCGCCGCCTTCGCCGCCGCAGCTCCCGCCACCTCCAGCTCCGCCCGTGCCAGCCTGCGGCGCCTCCAAATGCGACGCGGGGGCGCCCTGCGGCCTCTGCTTGCGCGCGGTCAACGCGAGCGAATGCCCGTCCTCGCAGAAGGGGCTCAGGATTCTGCCGCGCTGCACGGCGCAGCTGCTGCAGCCCCTGGCAGCGGGTGCGCTTTGCGAGGTGTGGGGCAGCAGAGCGCATAAACACTGTCCTCGCCCCGTGCTAACCGCCCACACCCGCGCCCTCAGCTCAGCCCACGCCCTCTGCTCTGTCTCCACGCCCCTCGGCCTTCGCTCACTCCCTCCCCCCCCCCCCCAAAACCGACCTCCCTTCCCTTTCGCAGGCCGACGGCGAGTGCGGGACGGACCCGGCAAACACAAACTGCCCGCCCTTCCACGAGGTCTACGCAAAGGTTGGCTGTGTCCGCGCACCGCTACCGCCCTCGCCGCCGCCCTCGCCGCCGCAGCTCCCGCCACCTCCAGCTCCGCCCTTCCCGCCCACACCGCGTCCTCCGCCCCCGCCGCCGCCGGTGCCGGTGTGTTCGGGCGAGTGCATTGCGGGCGCGAGAAGGCGACGCAGTGCTCGCTCTCCCCGAGCACGTCTGCTGACGCACGGCGGTACTGCTAACAGGCGCCAGCTGCAATATGTGCCTCGTCGCCGTCGCGAAGAGCGTTTGCCCCACACCAAGTCCGCCCCGCGCAGCCCCGGCCGCAACCCCCGCCACAAGTGACCGAAAAGAAGAGGATCTCCGGGCACGTGTAGGCGAGCTGAGCCGCATGCAAAAGTGCCACCCGACCCAGCCGTGGTCGCCGGGCAATTTGTGCGAGGCGCGCTGCTGTCTCGTACGGGCAAGAGCTGCACCCGGCACCCTCTCACATGCCACCACCTTGTCTGCGCGTGCAGGGCGACGGCGAATGCGGCACCGCGCAACTGGCCAACAACTGCGAGCCCCATGACGTCTACTCCCGCTTGCGCTGCCGCCTTGCGCCATCCCCGCCTCCGCCGCCCCCGCCGCCCCCACCAAGCCCGCCCAAACCGCCCCCCCCTCCGTCGCCGAGTCCGCCGCCGCCGCCGCCGTCGCCTCGGCCACCGTCGCCGCGGCCTCCGCCTGCCCCGCCGTGGTCCGTGCCAGCGGGCTGGGCCCCCTATCACCTCACACATCAGCACAGCACTTGCCGCGCCAAGAGTCAGCGGCTCGGCAAGTTTGAGAGCGCCGGCGAGTGCGCCGCCGCGTGCGACCGCAACCGGCCGGTCTGCTCCTTCTTCATCTTCGGCAGGCTGTCCGACGAGCGCGGCGCCTACCGAGGAGAGTGCTGGGCCTCGCTCGCCGCCGACAAGTCGTGCCCCGAGGGCCTCGAGCCGGCCGAGGCCAGCATGTACGCTCTCGGACCGGAGCCCGTCGCAGACGAGGCCACGCGCTTGCTCGTCGTGGCGCTGTCCACCGCGCTGGCCACGGCGGCCCTTCTCCTCGCCGCCGCCGGCTGCTACGTGCGAGGCTGCCCCCCCTTCTCTCGCCGGCCGGGTCGGAAGGGTCTGCCGGGCAGGTTTGTCGAGTTGCGGGCCTGAAGGCGAGCAGCTTGCAGGCTAGAGTGGCGGGCGGAGCGACGGCCGACCGCGAAGACGCACCAGTGGGGAGTGAGAGTATCTCTCTGCGCGGGGGCGAGGCGCTCGGGGCGCGTGGTGCCGGCGGGGGAGCACGCGCTGGGGCAATGTCAGCGCTGGTACCCCACACCCAACAGAACCAAACCCTCCTCACATCTGATCATAAACGCCGGGAAAGCCGCTAGCCGGGTCTGACAATTGAGGTGACATCCGTTCCGATCAAAAAATGGCTTTGATTGGCGCTGGCGCCTGCTGTTGACAAGTGGGATCATCTGGCTTCCGGAATACTTCCGCGAAGCTGCCCCCAGCAGGCGTTTGACCAAAATCCAAATTTCCCTACTCCAGTTGAGGCTGCCCTCGGACCCGAGAAATGGCTTTATTTCTTTGTTCAGTCCAGTGCGCGCCCGTGTCCCGGTGCCGAGTGTTGGCTGTTGCGCTGCGGCCTGCGCACGCTGAAGGTCCGCTCGGAACCGAACCCAGCTCCTCCAGGCCCAGGGGTCTCTCCGCCTTGCCGGTTGCACCCGGAGACTCCGGCTCGCTACCGGCAACGCGGCCAAAATAACCACGTCGAGAACCTCGCAGAAGAGCGAAAAGAGGCGCAAAAAAAAGTCCGGAACACGGGCATGTCCGCGGCAAAGAGCAGCACAAGCCCTCTCTAGACTCTCTACTAACAATGTAACAATCGCGAGCATAACCCAACGCGGCCAAAGGATATCCCAGAGTGGCAGCAAGGGGGCGGGCGGGCGGGGGAGGGCGGGTGGACGGGCGGGCGGGCCGCGTGCCTCGAACGCCGCGTCGGTGCGGAGGGCGAGCGAGTTGACGATCTCGTTCAGTAAACTCTGGTCGCAGCCGCCGCAGTCGCCAGTTACGATGGAGACTACCTCGAGGCGGTGGAGCCACTCGCTGAGCAGCCAGCCCACCGTCAAGTCGGCGGCGGCGTGCACGTGCCGAAAAGCGAGCATCCCGCTATTGAGCGGCAGATGGTCGGCCTGGCCGATCACGGACGCGGCGCGGAAGGCCGGAATGTCCCACTGCAGCGGCCGCAGGAAGGCCACGTCCGAGTCGGTGACGAAGACATCGGCGCCGCCCTTGATGAACAGCCGCGCCAACGCGTAGATCTTTGCGCACAGCACCTCCGCGAAGTCGGTGTGGAAGCAGCGGCGCGTGAAGAAGCACGGTAGGCCGGTGGCAGCGGCACAGACATTGGGTGAGGGTGTCGCCAGGTAGACGTGGTCGGCGCGGTCGGAGCCCTGAACCAGCTGCGTGTGTATGGATGCGGCAGCGCGGATCCCTTTCAAATTCGTCGGGATCAGCGAGTAGAAAAGGCGGCCATCTTTGCGGCGTCTGCTGCGGTCCAGCTGCAGCGGCGATTCGTCGAGGCTGTAGGCCAACGCGAGCGGGTGCCGGCACGCGTCGTCGGCGCATGGCTCTTCCATCGGGCAGCTCTGCAGGCAGCGCGCGACAGAGCGCAACTGGTTTTCCCGGCGGCTGCTTCCGTCGGTGGCGCACGCGCAGTTGCAGCGCAGCACGGAGCTGGAGACGTTCTGGCTGATTCTGCTGCAGTGCCCATGGCAATGCCTCGACCCGTGCAGCGGTGCACAACCGCCCACGGTGCTTCATCTTCGATATGCAGACGGATTCAAAGAGAAGAGAACTTTGGCGTATGTACCCGGCCCCTACCTATAGCGCAGCCCGGGGCGTATCCGCTAACCTCCGCGGCAATTCAACACGGAATTTGTGTTCGCGTGCGGGTCATTCTGACAAATGCAGTCCATGGTGGCCGTTGCCCCCTTGCGCAGGCTGAGTGGGGGGCATTCTGTGCAAATCTCTTGGGCGATGCAACTGCCACGGCAGATGATCACCTCGGCAACACTCCGCATTGGGTTGGCCGCGTTTCCAACATATATTGACGGAAAGTGGATGCTATCATAGCCCATCTGTAAGGCGCGCTCACACCAGGTAAAATCCATAAAGGGTCCATGCCCTCGCCATTTTGTTGGGCCGAAAACGGCCAGTAACTGCCGCGCCTCACGTCCCGGCATATGCAAGCTCTTCTGGCCGATGTTCACAAAAGTGCCGCTCCCGGGAGCTGAATAAAACCAGCAACCGTAGGCAAACCGATCTGTTTCACCAATCCAGGGTGGTGCTGTAGTGAAGCCGTCGCACCCGTAGCCATTTTCAACTGGATTCAAACGAACCAATTCAGCCCACGCATTGTTGGGAATGGAACCGTTGTACCAGCTTTCTGGTAAAAGGACTAGAGGAGCTGTTTGGCTGGTATACTGGGTTGAATTTAAGACTCTCGGGCCAGATGCCACCTTGTCCCTTGTCAATTGGACTTCCAGCGTGATTGGCCGCAAGCAGGAGGCGTGACAACTCAGCAAAAGGTTGAAGCTTGTCAAGCCACACAAACTGTACTGTGGCGGGCGACCGCCAACCACTTCCATATACTGATTGCAGGTATTGCCCCCATTCTTGCAGGAAAACCGCACCCGGGTTGATGGAAACGTCATAGGAGGTGTCGCTGACGCACGCCGATACGCGGATGTTAGACCTTAAGTAGCACCTGAACGGCGTTACGCCGGAAGCTGTTGTCACCACACCCTCACAGCTCTCGAAGTCAGTGCACGCTGCCCTGCACGTCGGCATGTCCACGGCGGCTGTGTACGCACCATAGTAGCCTTCCACCACCGTAGCGCCATGTCCTTGCCAGCAGTTGAAGCCAGGATGCAGGAGCCACCCAATATGTGGGAGGCCGAGGGAGCTCGAGTCGAGTGGCCGCGGCAGCGGGGCGAGCGGCTGGGGTGGGGCGGACGGCGCCGCGGCGTGCGGCGGCGGCGGTGCGGCGGCGAATGGCCTCGGCGGCGACGCGGAGCCAGCCGCCGGCAGCGAGGCGACGCCCGCGCCAGCGCCCGCTGCTGTGGGCTGTGGAGGGCAGACTATGTCTCGGCGACCGTCCCAGCACCAGCCGCCGTCGCCCAAAGCAAACCCGTTGCGCTTGCCGGCGCACCGGGCGTCCGCCGTGCCCGTGTAGCAGCCGCCCTGCACGCACTCCACGAAGTCCGGTTGGTCGCAGCCGGGGTAGAGGCAGTCTTCTCTAGCCACGCATGACGGCGGAGGCGGCAGAGGTGGAGCTGGAGACGGCGGCGGCGGCGGCAGAGGGGGGCGCAACGGCGGAGGCGGAGGGTGCGGCGATGGCGGCAAAGTTGGTGGCGGCGGCGGAGGCGGAGGCGGCGGAGGCGGCAGCGGCAGCGGCGGAGGCGGCAGCGGCGGCGGCGGTGGCGGCGGCGGCTGCAGCGAGTCGGCACGCTGTTGCGACAAAGCTGGTGGCGACGGCGGTGGCGGTGGCGGCGGAGGAGGCAATGGTGGCAACTGCAGCGGTGGCAGCGGCTCGGCCCGTTTGAGCAAGCACACGGTGTTGGCGAGAGGTAGGGTGCGCACGATGCGTTCGGGCCCCAAGAGTAACTGGCACGACATGACCACCCTGCCTCGCTTGGTGGACATCGACGAGTGCTGGATCCCGACGCACGCTCCGCTATGTCGCAGAGCGCCATTCCCGCCTCAGCCGTTCCTGTGATCACCGCCTCACCGGCGAAACGCGAGAAGACGAAGTCGGACGCGAAGGGCGAGCGCATCTCGTACATCTTGCCAGTGCCCTCGATGGCGCCCTCGGCCTGCGCTGAGGTGACAAAGGTGCCCGCATCAGGGTAGACGTCGAGCCTTCCAATGCGCGGCACCGGGTCGGCAAAGGACTGCCCGATCAAGCCGTGCGCGATCAGCGGCTTCCTCTGGGGCGAGTAGGAGAGCTCGATGTCGAGCCGGTGGCTAGGCCCGGCAATTCGGTCGTGTACGTGTTCGCCGTGCACGATGATCTTCCACGGCGCCCCGTTGGTGTCGGTGGTGAATGGGTTCACCTCTATTGTCGCGGTGGACATCTTGGTCGATGCATGAAGCCCACCGCAGAACCGTTCCGAGTTGGGCCCGAGCATGAAGTCGTGGCCACCGCAGGAACCCTTGACATTGCTCCAGCCCCAGTTTTGATCTGTGGGCGAGACGATGGGTGCGAGGTGAGGCGGGGCGAGGTGAGATGGGGAGGTGGGACGGGCGTGGCTGGGCAGGCTGATGCGGAGTAGGGCTGGGAGGAGGTTGTTTTTTTGGGCGGGGGGGGTGGGGGGGGGTGACCGTTCAGCTCGCGGGCAACGTAGCTCACGTAGGCCCACTTGCACAAGCGGTCGCCCGCGACGAGGGCAGAGACGTGGACCTCCGTCATGAAGGTCCCATTGACGAGGAGCTTGCCGTCGTGGAGGGTGTAGAGCGCCTCCTCGATCCGCACGTTGACGCTCAGCCCCGGCGTGGAGAGGTAGTTGTAGAGCGCACCGTCCTCGCCCCTGAAGTCCGCCCGGCCGCCCTTTGACAGGTCCAGGTGCGGATCCTGCCGCACTCTGGCGACGTCCGTGCCGGAGCACCGTTCAAACTCAAAGTTTGCCTGCACGAGGGACAGCAGGAGGACGGTGGAGATTATGCCAAAGATGAGGTACATCGCCCGGCCCAGTGGCCCTGCTCAACCACGCGACGGCGGCGACCGAGGACACGAGCAGTCGCAATGGCGATTTCGGCCCTCGCCGATGCGTTCTAGACTCGATGGAAGTCGATCAACGATGGAAATCGTACGCTGGTACTTACTAGCGAGGCCTTCTTGATTCTCGGACGGCCGAACGAAGGGATCCGCCGTAAAGAAAGAAAGAAAGAGAAAAGCAGCGCAGAAGCGCCATGGCACAGAACAGCTTGAGAGTCTCCCCACCCAATAGCTAGTTAGTTGCTTTTGCGGTTTTGTGGAGGGGCGTGGAAGCGGCAGGCGCGTACTTCGATTTGGTCCCCGGTCGAGAGTCAGCAGATGTCCTCATGGTTCATCTGCTGCCAGCCGCTCGACCTCGAGTGACGTCGAGTCGACAGTCGGAGTGCTGCAGAGCCCACTGGCACTGCCCACGCGCAGCGCATTTCGTATCCGGTTAATTAAATCCCGACCGATGGGTTAGCTACCTTCCCGCACCACGTCACACTGCGGGTCACACTCGACACAATCCTCCCCCACAATCCACTCACCCACTCCTCCCAGCCCGCTGTCTCAACGGCCTCCGCCTTCTCGAGACAAGCCGCCGCCAACCCTGGCTGGCCCGCGGCATCGTGCACAAGCGCCAACGCCATTCATGATTGTCATCATGTCATGTGCGCGCATCATGGCCTCGATCATACTGCTCAAGTCGCTCGGCGGAGCAACGACCCTCCTCACTGCGGCAAGGTCATCCACATCTGATGCAAAGTGTTGGCCGTATTTTCCGCACGGTCATCGCATTCGTAGCGGCCACCACAGCAACCATCGGTGCTGTCAGAGACTGCCCAATGACTACCATCGCCGCCACCCACGAAGAAAGGGAATCCCCACGCATTATAAGTCACCGTGCTCATGCCAGGGGCTGTTGGGATGTTAGCGGAGTGATCAGACATTGCGGCGTAGCCCGTCTGGCCCCAACTGGCCGCTGAGGCGGCACCCGCATCGTCGAGAATCTGAGTGATCTGGTCGCTTCCGGTGTGCGTAAAGTGAACTTTCCTCGTGTGCGCATCGGTATGGCAGTAGAATCGAACCTTGCCGACATCGGCCGCGGTGACGCCGTAGTAAGTGCCAAGCGGAATGTGCGATCGGCTGGTCGTGGGGCTCGTGGGGATGGCTTTGACTCGACTAAAGCTTGTGTACGCGTCGTGCTGATAAGCGCCCACGAGCGCCCAGCACTCGCCCTCGTACAATTCCGAATACAGCTCGAAAGTAGCGTCTCCGATGGTGTATGGAGTCATGCCAGAGCAGTACACCGGCGGCGGAGAGGGCGAGGCCGAGGGCGGCGGCGCCGAGGGCGGCGGCGGAGAGGGCGAGACTGAGGGCGGCGGCGGAGTCGGCGGCGGCGGAGAGGGCGGTGCCGAGGGCGGCGGCGCCGAGGGCGGCGGCGGAGAGGGCGAGGCCGAGGGCGGCGGCGCCGAGGGCGGCGGCGGAGAGGGCGAGACTGAGGGCGGCGGCGGAGTCGGCGGCGGCGGAGAGGGCGGTGCCGAGGGCGGCGGCGCCGAGGGCGGCGGCGGAGAGGGCGAGGCCGAGGGCGGCGGCTTGTAGAGCACCGTGATCGAGATCGTGGTGGGCTCCTCCTCCATGCCCACCGGGGCTCCGAGCTCCTCGGCCATGCTTGCGAGGAAAGCCGGCAGCGTCGCGGCGGCCGTGATGTCTTGGGCGGTCGGCCCCCCCTCGGCCTGCACGATGGTCACCCGCACCGTGCTGTCGCCGAGGTCCTCGAGGGCCATCTGCTCGGCGGTGACAGTCACGGGGGGTTCGCCGTTGGCGAAGGACTTGATCTTGGCGGCCTCGACGGCGTCCAGGTCGATGGCGGCGAGCGCGCGCCGCCGCCGGGTCGCGCCAATCTTGAGAGCGAAGGAGGAGGCGGGAAGGCAAACAGGCTCCTCGGCGAGCCGGCGACGGGCCTCCGTCATCCCTTCTCCGGGCTGTACCTCGAGCGACGTGGCACGCGCAACGAGGGTGGCCATCGCCTCCTCGCGCATGAACTGCCGCCAGCCGTCGATGCCCTGCTTGACGGCGCCCAAGGCCATGTTTCTGAGGCGCCTGTCGACGTCCGCAACCTCCTGGGCGAACTCCTTGTCGCAGAGCGCCATTCCCGCCTCAGCCGTTCCTGTGATCACCGCCTCACCGGCGAAACGCGAGAAGACGAAGTCGGACGCGAAGGGCGAGCGCATCTCGTACATCTTGCCAGTGCCCTCGATGGCGCCCTCGGCCTGCGCCGAGGTGACAAAGGTGCCCGCATCAGGGTAGACGTCGAGCCTTCCAATGCGCGGCACCGGGTCGGCAAAGGACTGCCCGATCAAGCCGTGCGCGATCAGCGGCTTCCTCTGGGGCGAGTAGGAGAGCTCGATGTCGAGCCGGTGGCTAGGCCCGGCAATTCGGTCGTGTACGTGTTCGCCGTGCACGATGATCTTCCACGGCGCCCCGCCCGCCGGCGCCCGCCTGGCCGCTGTCGGCCGTGGCTCGCGTAGTGCAGAGGGAGGGAGAACGTGCGGTCCTCGGTCCGGGCGGCGGCGGGCAGGGCCGCGAGCCTACGTGCTGAATACGCCGACCTCAGGGCGGGAAGACGGTATTGTTCAGAGCACCGCGTGAAAAACTGAGCCGCTGGGTGCCCCGCAGCAGCTTCGCTGGGCCAGAAGAACCGGTCCGCGAGTGCTCCGCAGCAACCTCGCTGAGCCAGAACGTCGGCTCGCGAGGTGGGGCGCTAGTATGAGACCGATCCGTCGCAGTTCTCTTGCTCCAAGCGCTTGCGCTTCGGCGGTTAGTGGTGCACTAACCTCCGAGAAACCCTTCGGGTCGCTCCTCATCGCAAACCCTGTCGGCAGAGTCCTCCTACGGGAATGTACGTAAGAGCTACATACACTGAAAAAGTGACGTAAAGCACCCATTTTTTAAGCGTTCGCCGCATACACAAGGTCCGCCTGCGTGCGGCACCAGCTTCTCAGGGCCACGGGAAAAACGACGGAGGAGATGCATCCTAGCTGTCGCCACCGAAGGCGACTCGACGCCGCTGAGATCGGAGATCAAGCTCTGACAGGTCGCACGTCGCTCCTTTGACGCCGACGTGACTCACCCGTGCAGAGCACATCAGGACACGGTCTCGATGCGCTCGGTACGACGCCTGCGACCCGTCTCGGGTCAGGGTGGCACGACGCTCATCGCGCCCGCCAGCGCTGCCGTGCAGGTTGCCACGACGAGGTCGAGCACGCTTCTATACGCTCGCCCAGCCTTTCTTTTCATCCCATTAGGCAGCCTGGGAACGGTGGCGATCAGAGGCAAAGCCTACGAGGGGTGGTAGAACCACATGTCACGGCCACCGCCGGCTCGACGCGACGATAGCCTCCGGAGGCTGACTTTGCGGCACCATCATCGGACGATGTCGACGAGCTGGGTCGCGCTCGCGGTAGCCAGGTAGCCCCCCATACTAGTAGCACCAGCCATGGCCTCTCAGGGAGCGCGGGCGAGGGCGCTGGGAGCACACGGACAAAAAAACATCAAAATTCATCATGTTCACAGCACCCGTATTTGCAACTTGTCGCATACCGTTATTGCCCGAAAGTAGCTTATTGCCGTCGCTGAGAGGCTGCTAGGTTCCGGCTGTTTGTGAGGTGGGTAGGGTGCTATCGGGGGATTTGGGGTAGGGGGGTAGGGGGTGGGAGGCCGGCGGCTCTGCCGCCGCAGGGCCAGGGGAAGGGGGTAGGGGGGTAGGGGGGTAGGGGGGTAGGGGGTGGCCCAGCCACTCCCGCCTCTCTGAGCTGGTTCTCGGCCCGAATCCACAACGACCGACCGACGGCGGACCTGTACTCGAGTACAGCTGCATGAGACGCGGGCGGCGGGCGCGCGGAGGGGCAGCGTGAGGTGACGACGGCTGACGCTGTACAAAACTACCGTTACAGCAATCTGGAGCCGTGGGGTAGGGGGGGCAATCCCTTCCCTACCCGCAACAGCCGGACCCCCGATCGCTTCTCCGTATCTGGTCCCCATAATGCACTGGTCCGTCCCGCTGCTTTCGCTCTCGACACTCCTCTCCTTCACCACCTGCTTCTACTTCTTCAGCACTCCCGAGACCATCGCGGTCGCCCGCGAGACGCGGCATGCGGCCTCGACACAGTCGTACTGGGGTCCGGTCGACAGCGACTTTGACTGGTGCGAGCGCAACAACGAGCTCTCGGCGTACCTCAGCGAGCCGTTCAACACGGCGACCTCTGCCGCCTACCCGCTCTGCGCCGGCTACGCCTGGCGGCTGCACCACCGCCTCTCGCTCTCGCGGTGGCACCGGCTGATGCTGAGCGTCACGATGGCGATGGGCGTCGGTTCGATGATCTTCCACGGCACGCTGCGCTACTGGGCGCAGCTGCTCGACGAGCTCCCGCTCTACGCGATGGCCGTGCTCGCGGCGGCCACGTTGCGCCAGCGGGCGAGCCGGGCGCCGGGCGTCCAGCCTCTGGCGGCGGTGGCCGAGCCTTGCTTGAGAACTCACACCCGTGAGATGGCGTGGCCGGTGATTGTGTAGAGGCGGTGCCTGCAGGCTTGGTCCGCCTTCATCGCCGCCGGCCTCCTCCTCTCCGAACGCGACTCGGCTGCGCGCCTCTCCTTCCCGCGGCCTGCCCAGATCTCTCCCGGACCTTTCCCGAAGCCTTCCTGCAGGACGTGCACGTCTCCTTCCGCGGCCTGATGACGGCCCCGCCGCCACCCCCTGCCCCTCCCCCGCTCTTCACCCCGCCCCCCTCCCCTCCGCCGCCCTCCACCCCGCCCTCGCCGCCGCCCTCCACCCGAAGGTCACCTTCTCCGTCGCTTTCGTCTACATCTTCACGGCAGGCTCGGTCGCCGGGGAGGAGGTGTGCTCTGTGTCCGTGCCCGCAATCCTGCGAGCACACACGCTACGCCGAGTGCGTACGCGAGTGTGAGACACCCGCGCATTCGCGCGAGTCCCCGTGCTGGTGTATGTGCTCGGCCCGGTGGTGGGTCCTCTGCTCACTACTGACGGCCCGCCTCAATGAGCCCTAGGTGGACGCGGCGCGCGGAGGCGGCGACGGCGCGCTTGCTCTCCCGGCGGACCCGGCGGCAGGGACCAGGCTCCTCCTCGACTCCGCCTCTCCTGCTCCCAGGCGCGACGCTCTTCCGACTGACTTTCGTCAGTTTCGTCGCCGCCATCCTCTCGTGGATCGCCGACATCCTGCTCTGCCGCGAGCTGCAGGCAGCCCCCGGCCGCACGGCTCTTCCTCCCCATCTCCTAGACCTTTCCTCGACCCCGGCATCGACCTCGCTCCTCGAGCCTCCTTGTAGGCGCTGCCTCTGGGGATGCCGTACCCGCAGCTGCACGCCCTCGGCTGGCACTTTGGCACCTGCCTCGGCCTGCTGCAGCTCTTCTGCCTGATGCTGCTGCACCAGCACTGCGTGCGCGACGGGCTCGAGGCGTCGGTGAGGTACAGGGCGGGGCTCGTGCCGCTGGTGGTCGCCACCGCGCACGAGCCCTGATGCGAGAGGGAAATGTTTATGAAATGCCCACACTCCCACACAGACTCGCGGGGAGTCAGCGTACATGTGCACAGAGAATGATGACACAGAACCCTCGCCCCCACCTGACACGATAGTCCCCCTTCCCTCATCGGGAGCGGACGACGCGACCCGCCGGCTTAATAAACACAAAAAATAGTCGCCGACCACGACGCACGGCGGCGTGCGTGCGCCGCATGCCGAGACGAGCCGAGGGTGGGGGGGACTAGGTCCAGCCCTGGGTGGCGCAGATCTGACGTTTTGTGACAATCGTCAGATCCGTGTTTTTTTGGTCTTGCGGTACATCTCTCCGCTCGCCACCTCACGCTCCGCCGTCCGGCCATGGATGGTCCGATGGAGCTCGCCGAGCTCCATCGGACCATCCAACTCCGGTCACCGATTCTGAACGCGCTCAGCCTCAGGAGGTACCAAACCGCGCGAATTCTGCACGCCTCGCTGCACCGCTGGCTTGACTGAATCAGGCAGCAGCAGGCTGCTGCTGCTGCCACAGCAGCAGTCTGCTGCGGCCCTAATACGCAAGTTGATGACTAGCAGCACTGCCGGGGGCATTCGAGCCGCCACAGCCGGTGTGCGGCTGTGCACTGCCACCTGCCCGCGGCTACGCACAATGTGCGCTCGCATTGGATGAGCCCTGCTGATGGACCTGCATCGCCTAGCTGCACGAGAGCAATGCCGCAGGCAGTGGCCGTGGCATACACTGCGAGCACACTTGGTGCAGCTGCGAGGTGCAGCAAGAGCACGTCGTTCCTGCCTCTGATGCCACTCTCGCGGCTTGCAGCGCGTCACTCGCGCATGCTCTCCAGGAGCTATGGCGGGCGCGTGTGTGGGGCTGTAGCCTGTGTTTGGCCGGTTCTGACCCGTTTACTATCAGTATCATGTCCGGGCCACAAAAAATCGCACACGGGTAGCGGCTCAGGGGCCCAGTAAGTCGCGGAATCGCCAAATGTCACAACCCGCTGCGCCACCCAGGGCTGGACACCTAGTCGGGGGTGGGGGGGTGGGGAGGGAGCGGGGAGAGGCGGGATGGTGACGACGCTCCACGAGCGAGGTCCGAGGACCCACACACCACACAGCACGATTTGTGTGTGTGCGGGAGTAAAGTTTGTCGCATGTCGGGAGGGAGAGGGGCAGGCTGCTCACCCACGTGCACCGGGCCAGTGCTTGCGCCTGCACTTGCACTTTGAATGCCGTGCGGGTACTCCACTGCCTGTGTCCGGGTGTGGAGATGCGAGGGTCGCCCCCCCTTCCCACCCCACCACTTTGTGTGTGTGGAGAAATTTACCTTACCTTACCTTACAGCGGCTTACTTACACAGCACTCAGCACACTCCCCGACGCACTCGCCACAGTCTCAGGAGCCACCACCGCCCCTATTAGCACCGCCCCCCACAAAAAAAGAACTCGCCCTGCGCAAAGACCGCATGGGCGGCGATTGCTCCTTTTTACCCATCTCCTAGTAGAGCCGCTCCGTTTTATTTTACGTATTTTAATCTGACCCTGCGCCGCGCACCTGAGGTGAGGAGCTATGTGCCGCCGTTTGTCGGGGCACGCTATCCTGTGCAGTCAGGGCAAGTGGGGGCGGGGCGGACAGCCCCCAGGGTCTTTATGGCTAGTTCCATTTCACTCTGACACGCTAATCTTGAAAACGTCCAACGGAGCTCCGTGTTGCTCCCAGCGCCCTCCCCCGCGCTTCCTGCGGCCCTAGCCAATGATACTAGCATGGGAGGTCATCTGACTACCGCGAGAGCGACCCAACTCGTCGACATCGTCCGATGATGGTGCCGCAAAGTCAGCCTTCGGAGGCTATCGTGGGGTCGAGCCGGCAGTAGCCGTGACATGTGGTTCCACCACCCCTCGTAGGCTTTGCCTCTGACCGCCACCGTTCCCAGGCTGCCTAGAGCCGTAATGGGATGGAAAGGAAGGCTCGGCGAGCGTATAGAAGCGTGCTGCCGTGCTCGACCTCGTCGTGGCAACCTGTACGGCAGCGCTGGTAGGCGCGATGAGCGTCGTGCCACCTGACCCGAGACGGGTCCCCTCGTTTGGCGTGCCCGTTTTATTTATTTATTTATGTCAGCAACAGCGGGGCAACCGCCCTCTCCAGGTAGGTTTGCCGCTCACTGGCCCTCGCGAAGCCGTCCCACCCGTAGAATGGAACGCTGATCACCCTCCAGCCAGCCGCCGCGAGGAGGCGCCGCTTGAGCAGCGTTGGCCCGTTGGGCTTGCGCACGCCCCGGCCGTCGGTAAGCAGGAAGTGAGAGGGGCCATCCACCTCGACCGCGACGCGTGACGAGGGCAGCGCCAGGTCGAGCAAGTAGCCCAGTGCGCGGCTCGAGATACTCCTCCTCGAAGCCAGACTGGACGGAGGCGAGGGCAGCTGCAACCGAGCGCTGCAAGCGCGATATCGTCACTAGCGTGTCTTGCATAGCGTCGCAGCAGAGCTTACGTTGAGACTCGGAGAGGAGATGCTGCTGCCCGTCTACCCCGCGTTCCAGAGAGAGCCAGAGCTGCCACTGGTGCAGCTGACGGCGGTCCTCCTCGCTCCACCTCGACGGATCCCGCGCGAGCGAGTCGCTGATCACGCGCGAGCAGTTGGCAAGCAGCGCCTGGTGATAACAGTCTGCCGTCGCATACGCCCACACCGTGTTGGCTAGGGCCTGAGGCTTGAAGCCAGCAAGCCCGCCGCGCACCGCCTCCTCGTCACGCCACGCCCACGCGTCCGTCTCCTGTTGTGTCACGCCACGCCCACGCGTCCGTCTCCTGTCGTGTCGTCAGGCATGGGCCGCGTGGCTTCTTGTACGCATCTGTGACCACCTCGCTCCAGTTGCCCCCCCAGTCAGGTGCGAGCAGCTCGAGCATGAGGGGCAAGAGCAAAGACGCGTTGCGCGCCTCCCGAGGGATGAGGTAACGCTCGATCGTGTGCGTGTTCAGGTGCCGGATGCTCTCCTTGAGCAGGCCGCACGGCGGCGTGCCGAAGCGCACCTCCAGCATCTTGCACCAGATGCGAGGCATGCCGACAACTGTCTTGCGCAGCACCGCGTCGGGGATTCGGCTCAGCAGGTGGTGATGCGTGTAGCTCCAACGCAGAAGCACGAAAGATGGGCGTCTGCACCTCCATGTGGTCCACTTGCACCATGAGGCAGTTGGGCGGCCAATCTACAGCCTCGCCGTGTCTCTTTGCCCGCAGAGCGATGTAGTCGGTGGAGCGGCCGCCCGGGAAGGCGGAGTCCACGCGCGGCTGCGCGAGCGTCACGTTTGTGGCAGCCATCTGTCGCAACGCCGCCGAGAGGTTGAAGCGAGCGAGGTCCATGTCGCCGTCTGACAGCCAGATAAAGTCCACCTTGGCGGCTGCGGCTGGCGGCAGCTCACGCTTCCAGAAGAGACCCTTCATGCCACGATGCGAGCTCACGGAGAAGCGGTGACAAGGACGCAGGGAGGTGCTGGTTCCAATCTTCCAAAGGATCCCAAAGCTGTGCGAGTTCGCCGGTGAAGCAATTCAGCTGCATGTGCAACTCTATGTGCTCCGCGTGCTCCTGGCACAAGTGCCGGAGCTTAGTGACAATCATGGCTGAGCCCTTGGTGCAGGCAGAGGTGACGGCAAGCAGCACGCGAGGCTTAGTCATCTGAGCCGGAACCTCGACTGCTGTCGGCGGCAGCGAGGCCTATCGCATCCTCTCGGCGCGGAAGCCGTTGTGATTCTCAACGCACAAACGGCTCGCTGTTACGTTGTTAGCTTGGCACGAAAGCCACACGACGAATAGCCGTTCACACCGGTGCGCGCACGGCACCGATTGTCGTGTACTCGTCTGTTGAGAGTAGAGCTACATACCCTCCATCTCGCGCCTGCAGCGCCCGTGGCGTGGCCCATGCGAATCATGCTTTCACATGGCATGCGGTTCGTAAACGAACGTTATGAATGGCCATTGCGATTCAATGAGCTGGTGGAGGCGCCCCACGTAAAGGTATCAGCATGCTCGCCAGATCCGCACAGCCTCTGAGTTGCGCGTGTCAGCCGGCGCTGCACCACTCATTCGGTCGCGTCTCGGGCGGTCCTGTCGCCTCGCCCACCGTAAGTCCAGTGCTCTCGTGAAAGCAGCGCGCGGCTGCATTCACGGCCTCCGCCTGCTCCTCGAGCGGCTCACCCACCGCCAGCGTGACCGACTCGTCGTCAAATGGAGCCGTGCCCTCCACGCCACGGCTGAGCACCACCCAGTAGAAGCGGCTGCAGCTACTCAGTGCAGTGCCCACGCAAAGCCACTCGCCGTCGTCCTCCTCCGGGCTACGCCGCTCTGCATACGCACACACACGAACGCGCTCCAGGTCGGCGTCGCCGGCCGCCTCGCATGCGCCACGCCGCTCCGCTGCCTTTGCCGTCGCCTCGGCGCTGCTCGCGGCGGAAGCCGGTGGCGCAGCGTCGTCGATGTGCGCGTCACGCACGGCCTCTGAAAGCTTCTGCATGGCCACCTCCCAAGCCTGCTGGCTGTCCGCTTGCTTGAGAGCGTGCCAGCTGCGCCACGCCCGGCTCAGGCCGGGGACGCTCGCCTCGCCCGCCTCGCTCATCGCACCCTCGAGCTCGCTCATCGCTTGGGACCTCGCGCCATCGTCGATTCTCGCGCCGGCACCAGTGGCCGCAGTTACCTTTGCGATTGCCACCTCCATGCGCGACAGCGCGGCCTTCGCAGCTGCACTCGGCTCCGTGGTGCGCGCCACGGCATCCGACGTCGACGCTCGTTCCTGCCCCGGCGAGACCAGCACCGTTCCGGACTCGGCCTTCTCGGCTTGCTGGGACAGGCGACGCAGAAGCTGCGGATCTATGACCGATGAAGCTGATCGAGGCACCGGTGCGGGCGACGCGGGAGCCGATAGGCGACGTGCGGCCATGATTCGCGGACCCTCGATCTCTCGATGAGCGTTGTTGCTGAGCGCGGAGGTCGCCTGTGCGAGCGGCTCTCTCGCGCTCAAAGCGGCGCGCTCAGGACAACGCATCCCCCAGCCGACACCTCAGCTCTTGGGTTGCCCTCGTTTCATTCCTCGCGAGCGCTTCGGCCAGCACCGCTAACACATGAAGTGGCCAAAGTCGCTGCGCCCGGCCTTGGTGAAATAATCGAAGCACCAGGCGCTGTCGAGCGACACGAACGGATGGACGCCCGAGGAGCGAGCCGAGCGCAGCTCGAACGCGGTGCGGAAGGCATTGCTGGTGAACTTCCCAACGAAGAGGTCGCACATGGAGAGGAGATAGACGTCGACGAAGGACGCGATCACCGCCTCGACAAAGATGGGCGTCCCTCCCCAGTTGCGCACGAGGACGTCCCAGTTATCAGCGCCGGTGTGCGCTTTGAGATGTTCCATCGACGGCTGCGCCTTCGTCGAGTAGAGCATCGTCACATTCGGGTGCGGTCGCTTAAACACGCCTGGATCATCGGAGGCCACGTACATCGTGTTGGCACCGCTTTGTCGCATCAGATCGTAGACCTCGCGCATGTAGACATCGTAGTCGTCGCAAGAGAGAGGAGAGAGGAGAGGGTGAGGGTGTGAACACACGTGAGGAGTGGGGGAGGGTGTCTGTGGTGGGTTGTAGTCATACTACGTGGTTAGAACCACGCGCTCCTCAGGAGCTTAAGGTAGAGCTGAGCGTCCAAGACGCCTCGGTGCCACCCACCGGGTGAGACCATCCGGATCTTTCCACCGCGCCCTCCGGGCTGAGTGGTCCCCGCGATGGCCCACGGTCCTCCGTCGCCTGGTTGAACCCCCTGCCTCCCTGTTGACCCCCCGGTCCCCGTACTCGACCATGAAACAAACTCAAAGTCCACCACAGCCACCAGCCTCCACCTCCACCTGCGAGCCGCCACCCCTGCCGCCCGCGACGCCGCCCGCCGCGTCAGATAGCCGCGACGCGCGCATCGAGTCGCGTCGGAGAGCCGCGCCGCACCAGCAGCAGCACCTGCACCACCAGCAGCAGCAGCAGCACCACCACCACCACCCGAGAGAGAAGCGCACCTGCCCGACGCCGCCCGCCGCGTCAGACGCTCGCGACGCGCGCGTCGAGCCCAGTCGCACAGCCGCGCCGCGCCAGCAGCAGCATCGGCACCAGCAGCAGCAGCACCACCACCACCAGCAGCAACAGAGACATGCAGTGCAGGCGCAGAGGCGCTCGCAGAGCGGCGCTCAGCGCCGCGCACGCCACGCCGCGGACCGTCGGACGAGCGCACCGTACGTCGGCGGCGAGCCGCGTCGCCAGCCGTCTCGCGAGAGAGCGGCGCCGCCGCGTGCGCGCATCAGCCCCGCGGCAGGGTCGATCCGCGGCGACGTCCGCACTAACGGATAACGGCCATTGGCGGTTTCTCTCTCTCTCTCTCTCTCAACGAAGGCGCTCTCAAAGAGAAGAAAACAGGGTGCCCATCTACCTGGTACGCACGATCCCCGCCCACCTTCCCGCGCGCAAAGGAAGGAAGTCTCCTGCAGTTCCAAGCATGTCAGCTCCACTCCTTGAGAAGACGCCCCCGCCTTCGCGTCCGCCTCCTTCGAAGGCGTACCTGAACAAGCAGAAGCAGGCCGTAAACTCCACAGCCTCGCCATCGCCGGGCGCCGCAGCCTCGCTGTCACCGAGCGCTGCCACCTCGTGGGCGATAATCAATGGTGAGAGGTCGTTCCGCGGCGCCGTCGGCGCTTGCTGCTTCCTAAGCTGGGCGCGCACTCCCATCGCGCTGCTGGTCACTCTCCTCGTGTGGTGGCTCCCGGTCGCGATCGCCGCCCCGCTCGTGGTCTTGCTGCCGCCGCTCACCTTCCTGCTGCTCACGTTCGGCACGATGCCAAAGCAGTGGGGCGACCCGTACTACGGGTTCGTGCTCTGGGTCCAGAAGCTGCGGCTGACGACCCAGTTCGTCCAGTTCAACGGGGCGCGGGTCGAAGGCCGAGTCGCCTACGATCTCCGCGCCCTCAAGCCAAAGCGCGAGCTGAGGAAGACGCCGCTTCCGCTGGGCTGGGGACTGGTGGTGGCGGACTACCGGGAGGAGGAGATGGACGCGGCGGTCATCCTCGGCAACTGGTTCGGGGAGACGCTCTCGACGACCCTCATCCCAGTGGCGAGGGTGCTGGACATTGTCCGGCTCGCGGCGTACCACCTTCCCTGGGGCTGGCGCAGCGCGCCGCGCCAGACCTCCTTCAGCGCGGGCGAGAACCCGGTCAAGTTTGTGATGGATGAGGTGGGCGCCGTCTACCCAAAGATCCACCAGCAGTGGGCCGACAAGACGGGGGACGAGGCGCTCGCCCACTTTTGCAGGTCCGGCCTCGCAGCGCACCGCGTGGAGCTGGCTCCCGAGGACTGCCCCTACCTCGATGCGGACGGGAAGCCGGCAAAGTTCGTGGTGCGCACAAACGAGATGGCGACGCTCGACGTCAAGGAGGGGTGCGACCGCTACGGCGGCGACGCGTACTTTGGCGCAGACTGGCGACCGGTCGCGATCGTGCGCAAGGAGACGCCGGAGCAGTGCGAGTGGTGGAGCACGCTCGTCGACAAGGTGTACCGACCCGGCGACGGGTACAAGTGGGAGTACGCCAAGTTTGCCTTCCGCTCCACCGTCTTCACGCTGGTGACGTTCGTGGACCACCTCTTCGGGCTCCACATGCAGACCTCCGAGCTGGTCATGCTCGCCACGCGCGAGCAGCTGTCGACCGACCACCCGATCCGCCGCTTCCTCATCCCGTTCACGTTTGGAGCAATCACAATCAACGACTGGGCGCGGACCGCGCTGTGCGCGTACGGCGGCACGACGCACCGCGCGTTTTCCTTCACGGACGGCGGCTTCGCGCGCGCGTGGGCGCTCGCGCCGGCGCTCGCCTTTACTCGGTCAAACGCGCGTTGGACCGAGGAGAACCCGTCGCCGCGCGGTCAGGAGAGCAAGGGCAGGGCGCAGCCCTTCCGCGGGGTGTTCCGGCTGAAGAAGGCGCCGACCAACGAGATCGCCGATGGCGAGACTGCAGCTTCGGTCGCGGAGAAGGTCTTCGCGCGCACGGTGGGCGACAGCGCCTCGGAGCGGCGCAGCGACGACGGCGACGGCGACAGCGACTGGATCGACGCCTTTCTGGCGCACCACGGCTCCGCCTACCCGTCCGGGGGCGTCGACACGCCTTTCTACAGGGCTTGCGAGCGTTACCACGGCATTGTCGCGCGGTGGGTGGATGCGTATTGCGCGCGCTACTACCCGGAGGGCGTCGCCGCAGATGACGAGGCGGTCGCGTTCCTGGAGCAGATCATGCTCACAACCTCGCAGTCGACGGTGGCATCGTACGGGCTTCAGCTCGGCGCCGCGTTTGCAGCCTCGCGGGGCCGCCCTCTGCGGATGCGAAGGCTGCTCGTCTGCTTCCTCACCCGCTTCATCGAGCTCGTGACTCTGGGCCACGAGCAGGTGGGCGCTGTGCAGGTGTACGCGCAGGACGCGTCCTTCGCCTCCTTCTCATGGAAGAAGGGCGACCTCTGCGGCACCAAGGAGGCGGCGATGCAGGGCGCGACCCTGATGTGCCTCACCTCCTCCATCACCCCCACGCTCATGCCCGGCGACGACTCCACCTTCGAGCAGCACGACTGGTCCTTCCTGTACCCGCCCCCCCCGGGGCAGCAGTCTGCCGCCGACGCTGCCGATCTGAAGGCGCTCAACCGCACCTTTCAGGAGGAGCTCGCCGCAATGGCGCGCGACCTCGACGCCGAGATGGCCGCCGCGCCCGCAAAGGCCTTTCCAGACAACATGGGCAGTTGCACAGTCAACCCGCGGTACATGGAGTGCGCTGTCAGCATCTGACACCGCCCCTCCCGACGCCTCGACGCGCACGGCGCAACGGGGGCGAGCAGGTAGGAATAGGGCACTTTGTGTGCTGCGGAGCGCTAGAGATGCGCGCGCGAGAGAGTTACGTTCTGTGGGGCGTTCTGTCCCCCCGGCGGCGACGCGGGCACGAGGATCGAGGTCGCAACGCCCGCGTGGGATCGCGGGCGAGCTCTTTGTTTTTTACGGCGTTGTTGTTGGCAGCAGTGTCCACTGTTTCTTGTGTGCGCGGCCTTCGTTTTTGTTAATCGTCCGCTCTCTCTCAAAAGTAGTCGGCAGGCTGGCCTCTCACTGCTCGCACAGACGCCTAGACAGATAACACAGACAGACGCGCACCAGGCTTCGTAGGTTAGAGCGGGGCGGTGCGTGAGCCCCTCCTTCTCCGCGCGCACCCACACCCCAGTCTCCTACAGCCGTAGCCGAGCATGGTGTGCATCTCATGTAGCGTCGAGACGTCGCGTCGTCCCAGCGGTTCATGCCACGCGTGCCTAGCCTGCCCGATGCCCCCCCAAAGCACCGCCAGTTTTCTTGTGCAGCGCCGCGGCTTCCCATCACTTGTCCTTGGAAACCTCGTTGGAGGAGTACCCGCTGGCGGTGGAGTCGTCTGCATCCGTCGTTGAATCTCGTGTTGGCTTGTGGAGGTCGTCGTAGGGGACCCGCCGACGCACCACGGCGCGCCGGGCTAGCTCAGAGTGCCGCGGCGGCGCCGGGGGCAGCTTTTGCTGCACTTTGCCAGCACCAGGATCACCGCCGAGGAGGCGAATGAGATAGCAGCGAGTCGACTGTACGAGCCTAAGGTGCGCCAAGACGAGAGGCGGGTGAACATGGCAATACATGCAACATCTAGCGTGTATGCGCAGGCTACGGACGAATCATGAGAGCAGTCTCGATACACATGCTCTACGTTGACGCGCCCAGTCAGGAAGGCTACGGCACCATGGGAGATGCGAGAGAAGGCCTGTCCGACCGCGAGGAGGAGCTGCACGAGCACAAGCAGATAGTGCGCGGGCCCGACCAAGATCTGGGGTGGCAGTGGAGCGTCGCCGCATCGAGATCTCGCCCTTGAAAGAAGGGGTGCTCCATCACTGTGAAAGAGAGTTGTTTTCTTTGGAAAGAAAGAAAGAAAACTGACAACCCAAGGGAGGGATGAAAGAAAGAAAGAAAGAAAACAGACAACCCAAGGGAGGGATGGGAGAACGGCACCCGGAAAATTGCAGCGCGTCGGCGCGGCTCCGACTGGTCGGGCACCTCGGCTGGGTCCATCAGCACGAGGCCCGCCCCGTCGGGGAGCCCCGCGAGCGCATGGGCGGCCGGCGCGAGCGGAGGACGAGATGCCGAGATGCCACAAAAAACACATTTTTGTGAAGGGGGGGGGGGTCTTGCCTCGGTACCCTAGACCGTGCACTCGACCGCCCTCGCCGCTGGCAAGCTCATTCACAATCTGCTCTGCGATGGCCGTGTGAAGAACGACTGAGATACGCTGCTTCTGCAGCCCCAGCCAATTCTTAGTGGTCCAAGTCACCTCATCGAGGTACTGGGCCCGCGCGTCAGCTTGTTCTGCAGCACGTTCGCCGCCCCCCAGAGGATCTCGCCGCCCCCCTTCCCAAACCCACCGAACGACTCGAACAGCAGCAGCCGCACGTCGACGTCCTTGTCCTCCCTGGTGTAGCGATACTCGCCGCCGTAGGACGGTATGCGGCGATCGCCGCCCACTACCCTGCCCCCCCTAGTATGCCACCGACCAGTCCCCTGCCCCCTGCCTCTCGCCCTTGCTCTTCGTCTCTCCCCCTCCATTCCCTCGCCCCCATCGCGGGAAAAGAATTTTACAACAAAGCTCCCTCGCACAACACTGGGCACGGGACTGGCTCGCACTGGCACTAACACGGGAAAATAAAACACCGAAGCTTCTTTCTTTTTTGTGGCTCGAGTGTGTGTTAAAGGTGTCTCTCAAGGGGCCCCTGGGCTACTGCCTACTCCCTGTTGCCCCGCTCCTGCCCCCCCCCCCCTTCCGTGTATGGGCGAACGCCGAGCCCGGCCGCATCAGTTTCTCTCTGTGTCTCTCGCAGCATCAGCTTGAGTTGCCACGGCCGACCGATTGCCTCGGCGGTCGCCGCCTCCACCCCCGCCCTAGCAGCCTCCGCCGCAGCCTCGGCGGTCGCCGCTTCGGCGACGGCCTCAGCCAACACCAGCCTCGTCCTCTACCACCTCTGCCGCCACCGCTGCCGCGCCCATGAGGCTCGGCCCCGCCGTGACGCCGAACCGAACCCTCTCCTCGTTGAGAGCGCCGCGAGAAGCCTGAGCATCCCCTCCTTGTCCATCTGCGCGGGCTTCTCACTGCCCCGGCGCCCACGTCTCGATCTTCTTGGGAAGCAGCTGGTTCGACAGGTCATCTCCGTGGCCTAGGCAGCCGTGGCCGCCGTGGCCCCAAGTAAAGACGTCGCCGTCGGCGGAGACGGCGATGCTGTGGTTGCCTCCAGCCGACACGGCGACGACGCGCTGGTCAGCCAAGGCCTCGACCTTCTTGGGCAGCAGCTGGTGCTGCTCGTCGCCGTGGCCCAGCTGGCCATAGGCTCCATCGCCCCAGCTCCAGACGGCTCCTCCGGCGGCGAGGGCGAGGCTGTGCCCGCCTCCCGCCGACACAGCGATGGCCCGCTGGTCAGCCAAGGCCTCGACCTTCTTGGGCAGCAGCTGGTTCTGTTCGTCGCCGTGGCCCAGCCGGCCTTCGCCTCCATAGCCCCAGCTCCAGACGGCTCCGTCGGCGGTGATGGCGAGGCTGTTTTGGTGACCAGCCGACACAGCGATGACGCGCTGGTCAGCCAACGCCTCGACCTTCTTGGGCAGCAGCTGGTCCTGCTGGTCGCCGTGGCCCAACCGGCCATAGGCTCCCAAGCCCCAGCTCCAGACAGCTCCGTCGGCGGTGAGGGCGAGGCTGTGGTGATGTCCAGCCAACACAGCGACGACGCGCCGCCCAGCAAAGGCCTCGACCTTCTTGGGCAGCAGCTGGCGCTGCTCGTCGCCGTGGCCCAGCCGGCCATCGCGTCCATCGCCCCAGCTCCAGACGGCTCCGTCGGCGGTGAGGGCGAGGCAATGGAAGCGTCCAGCCGACACAGCGACGACGCGCTGGTCAGCAAAGGCCTCGATCTTCTTGGGCAGCAGCTGGTTCTGCCGGTCACCGTGGCCCAGCTGGCCATCGCCTCCACTGCCCCAGCTCCAGACACTGCCGTCGGCGGTGAGGGCGAGGCTGTGCCTCCACCACGCCGTCACACTCACGGCGCGCTCGCCTCCCAGCAGAGAGGGGAGGCGGGTTGGCGTGTTGAGCTGCGTCACGCCCTCGCCGTGCCCAAGCAGTCCTGGCATGAAGGACGGCGCATTGCCGCACGACGAGAGCCGCCCCTCGCCGTCGATAAAGAGGCTGTAGCGATAGCTCGCCGCCAGCCTCGCTGGCGGGTTGGACTCGCACAGCAAGGCATAAACGCACAGCCACCGCACGGCGCAGCCCTCGCCCTCTGGCTGCGCCGGCAGCTCGAAGCCGCGCTCTTGCGCCCACAAGCGGATGCCCTCCAGCGCAAGCGAGGCGTGGAAGAGCAGCGAGACGGCCGCGACGCGAGCGATGTCGGCGGGGCTGTGGCAGTGAGAGAGGGCGCGGACGAGGAGCTCCGTGGGGAGATCGAGGAGGCGGATGGGCGGCGGCGTGCTTGGCGAGGGAGCGGCGGAGGACGAGGCGAGGCGGCGCGAGCGGCGCGAGCGGCGCGGCGAGGTGGACATCGCGGGAAAAAAGAATTTAACTACACTCAGTCTTGAGCACTTGGGCCGGGGTCGCACACGGCAGGGGTGGCGGGACGGTTGTGGAGCGAAGTGGCAGTAGCCAGCCTCAAGCATCGATGGGATAATAAGATGAGATTACCAGACGAGAACGGGGGGAAGGACAGGCGGGCGACATTTGACGACGTCGGGGATCACAATGTGACGACCAAAACGATCTTGGGGGCCAGGGCGAGACAACAGGTCGGGGTGCCACATGGGGCACACCACAGGTGTGACGGCGGAGTTGACGTCTCCGTCGGTCCTAGCGGCGTGGCTGAGGGCGGCGGTGGAGGCGCCCGAGGGCGCGGCGTGGCTGGTCTCATGGGTCTAGCAAACCATAGACCACGCTGAGAGAATGCAACGAAAGCAGGCGGACGATAGCAGGACGCACGAACTAGTTAGAGGTAATGACCTCGGTGGGTGTGAAAGGTCTACCCATTACCCAAGAAAGGGTAGGCGCGGTTAGATGGGAGGTAGAATGTCTACCTACCGCACCCCCCCCAATGTCGCTGGGCGGGCTCGGCCCGCAGAGGCGGCATTGATCAGTTCCCCCAATGCACTGCGCGAGCCCGAGAGTTGGAGGCGTGGTCGACGCTGCGCTTGAGCTTCTCCTTGGGGACCCATTTCGTTAAGAAATCGGCGGGCATGGTCGCGCGGGAGGTGGCGTCGTGAGCTGCACGCCGGCGGGGGGCGTCTGCGTGCTGACGTCGGTGAGAGCGGCTCCGGAAGGCATGCCGCGGCGGAGGAGTTGCAGCTCGTCGAGCGGCGTGACGTGGCGGACACGGGCGGTGCCGCCGTTGTCCTTGCGCACCAGATAGACGGAAACGAAAAGAATTCCTCGCGGGAAATCCGTTTGCGATTCCGTTCACACACCTCTCCTTAAAATCCCTGTGTGGTGGCGGCGTGCCGTCCTCCCATCCCTCCCTTGGGTTGTCTGTTTTCTTTCTTTCTTTTTTGAGCACTGGATAGGGCGCTCCCAGCCACACCGACTTACTCGGGAGCGTGTTGACGGCGCCACATACCTCCATAACTACTCGGAGGGCGGCATGTCGTGGCCCGCCTCCCGCCCTTGAGGGCGTCGAGACGGGGCCGACCGCGTCTGCCGTAATGAACGGCGGCGAGTGAGGTCGACCCTCGCCCATACCTCCATCCACGGCCATGCGACACGCGGAAGAAAGCTGAACGGGAGCCTAGGGTCGGTCGGCAGCAGCCCGCCACCTGCAGGCTGCTGCTCGACCGCCCTGGAATCAAAGGCGGGGATGCCTCAACCTCTCGTCTGGCCCACTGAATGTATGTCGCCCGTACCCGGCCGCTGCTCCCGGCAGTAGCACGAATCCGGTTGACTGTCCATCCGGACATTTGAAAGTATCAACTCGCACTCGGTCCCCGCTCCCGGCAGGAACACGAGTACGAGCCAGTTGGGTTCCGCTCCCGGCAGGACCAACAACTGGAGATACTCTCGTCTCCCACGCTCGGTCCCTGAGACCAGTTACACGAGCGCGAGAGTCAGCCAGGCCCTGCTCCCGGCAGGACCACAGCTGAATTCAGCGAGCGTACAGGCTCGAGGTGGCATCGCCTCCTGATCCGCAGCGGTTGCAGTCGCTACGAGTAGTCCGCTCGCAGTTCACCACCCTGCACCGAGCAGAGCGCGGATCCAGAGCATATATCATATAGATCCGCAAAGGCAAACCACGGCGACCATCCCGCAGACCACAGCAGTCCATACTGTGGCCGCGGCCTCGCGTCGTTGCTTCCACGCGCTGTCTGCAGAGCCCGTCAATGCAAAATCCCCGTCAGGCGCAGACCCGTCTGAAGCCGCTGCTGACGCACAGCCGGCGGGTCAATCAGACATTGGGTGCTGGCCGTCGATGGGCTGAAGAAGGTTGCAAGACAGCGCGCGAGGAACTGAAGCAGAATGCATCGGTCTGCGTCCTATCGACGCCAGACTCGACCATATGCCGACTACCTGCCTCCATTGCGGAGGTAGGCGAGGATGGACTGCCACTTGGCATCTGTCCAAGTCTGGGGACCCGCAGTGGCATCAAAGATAGCCGGAGGCCCAAATCACTGCAACGGTAACGACACTGACACAGCTCGCCTGATTGCTGGCCACGCAATGGCGACCCACCATCGCGGCGTCAGCGGCTGAGCAGCATCGCAGATGCTGTCGCGTAGGCCGGCCGGGCCACATCGGTGAGCTGACCCAGCAGAAACCTCGACGACAACAGACATTCAACGCACACCAGTTACTTTGACTGTGCGCTGACTCACGCGTCCCCGCGCCCGTAGAGGAAGCGAGGCAGTCGAAAGACGAGCGCGATGCCGTCAACGACGACACTCGGCTCGACTGCACCCACCGCCACCACGGCAATCGCACCGACGAAAAACGATAAACGAAGAGAACCGCAGGAAAGCGTGGCACCGCACGCGCCAGCAAGGCACGAATGACGTCTGAGCGAAGCCAAGCCTCTCTGCGACTGTATCTGAAGGCGCGGTAGCGGTAGACGGGCAAGCCACAGCTGGCAAGATGCCGATCGCCATCGACCTTGCTCGAGCCGCGGCGGGGCCGTGAAAGTGAAGCGTGTCAGGATCGGCTGCTCGCTGTGAACTGACCTCGCTGTGAATGTGACCGCCGTCACCGACACTATTGTCCATGAATGGTAAGACTGAGAGTAGAGTAGAAGGTCGGGTCGAGCGACCGGCCCAGTCGACCGTCCCCTCCCCTCAGCAGAGCGGGCGAGAATCCTAAAGGATTCACGCCTCATAACAAACACGGCTTGTAAAAAATTCTTTTCCCTTGTTGACCAACTCTCGCGGCTAGTAGTTCACCTCGGCTAGTACCGGGCGAGCGAGCCAGCCTCGCAAGCATCGCGGAGTCACAGCCCTCCCCTCCTGCGCCGGCGCCCGCGGTCCCCACCGCGGCGCCGGCGGCCAACCCCAATGCGAGCCTCCTCGACAACGCCGAGCAGGCCGAGAACACGCTGCTTACGCTTCTCGGAAAGGACACGGACTCGCTCATCAGCTACCGAGGCGGGCCAGCCAAGGAGCTGGTGGCGTACGCGCACCGGTGGCTCAAGCTGGTGGGCGAGGAGTTCCGCGACGAGGTCACCGAGGGTCTGCTCAAGCGGCCGCGCGGCATCGAGTGCACCATCTCCGTCCTCGGACCTGTCAAGGACTCGTCCCGCGGCGCGCAGTGGCTCACGGTCAAGATCAAGGAGAACAAGTCGGAGGATGAAGAGGCGGCGCCCGACCCGACGGCGATGCACATGCTCTGGCTCTCCGCCGAGTTCGGCGTCGTCTTCTACATCTCTGGCTACCAGCCGGACCGGCGAGACGCCGCCGAGACGCCGCCGAGATGCGGTCGAGATGCGGTCGAGATGCGGCCGCGCTGCGGTCGAGCTGCATCCGAGATGCGAGATGCGCGCGGCGCAGCTGCGATGCATCCGAGAGGCTGCCGCCAACACACGGCGCAGCCACGGGCAGACGTGCAGTGCAGCTGTCGGAGGGTGCCGGTGCTTCCCTGCTTCCCCTGCACAGGCGCGGCGACAAGTTCCGCGCAATCACCTTTGACGCCGAGGCGCTGAGACACGGGAGGGCGGTGCCTCCTCGCGATCTGCCGCGCGTCAAGGCGCGGTGCGTGGAGCTCGCCTCCGCGTCCACGACGCTGCAGCGCGTGCACGCCCTCTGCTCGATCGGCAAGCGTTGACCCCGCGTGCCGCCTGCTGGCCGCAGAGGGACGCTCTGAGACGCCCCTCTCCCTTGCGTCCTCAGGCAAGCTCGACCCCGTCCTCGCCGCCGCCCTCACCAGCCCGGAGGCCGCGCCGGCGGCGGCGCACTCTCCGTGGGCGCCCCTCGACGAAAAGTCCCTTCTTCCGTCGGTGCAGAAGCACGGCTCTCTCTCTCTCTCTCTCTCTCTCTCTCTCCCTCTCTCTCTCTCTCTCTCTCTCTCTCTCTCTCCCGCTCTCTCTCCCGACGCGACCCGGACCGCATCGGGTTCGAGACTCGGGAGGTGTGGTACATGTACATGTAGGTGCAGAAGCAGCTCTCGCGCCTCAACCCGGGGCAGCGCGCTGCTCTGTGCGGGCTCGACGGCGCCGTGACGGTGGTGCAGGGTCCGCAAATCTAGACGCGGGACACGGCATACAGCATACTCCATGCCTTCCGACGAGCGCTCGAGAGGGCACGCACTCCGCCGCACGCACCTGCACTCGTCGTGCTCGCGGCCTGCGTCTCCACGCGGTGCTTCGAATGCGCGGCGCACTGCCGCACTGCCGCCCCGACCTTTGGTGGTTTTCTTTTCCCCACAGGTCCGCCCGGCACGGGCAAGTCGTCTTTCATCACCGCCGCCTGCCTGTCTCGCGTCCCGGCCGGGTCGCGCATCCTAGAAGCGGCGGTACGTCTTTGGTCCCCCGCGGGAAGCCCCGCGCGTAGGACAAGAGCGTCTGTCCCACACGCGCACAGACGCGCACATACATCATGCTCGGTCAGCCCCCACAGTGTAGTGGTGTGAGCACACAAGTACTAGCAGAGTGCACGCCTGCCTTGGCGGGTGAGGTCGCGCATCCTAACAGTCGAATACGCATTCTTGTATTCCAAGTAGCGACTGTGTCCTGCCGTATGCACTGTCTCTTATCCGCTGCACTCGCGCGGCGCTCTGAATGCACTGCACAGTACCGTACTCCCGCCCTGAGGCTGACGTCTCCACCGCGCAGGTCTCGCATCCTCGCGTGCACCGCCACAAACAAAGCCATCGACTCGCTCGTGGCGAAGCTCGAGGCTGCCGGTCTGACTCAGATGTTGTGCGTTGGCTCGCGCCGGGCGATGGGGGAGGCGTCCTGCCGCTACCTCATGAGCAGTGTGCTTGCGCGCGACGGCTTCGTCGCCGCCGCAGAGACGGCGATCGAGCAACACTCCGCCAACGTGCGTCGGATCGAGGCGGAGTTGCGCGAGCTGCCTGTCCCAGATGCCGCACTGCTCAAAGCGGGGGGAGGCAAGAGCGGCGGCGGCGGCGGCGGAGGCGGAGGCGGCCGCGGCGGGAGGCGCGGCAAGGCCAAGGGCCGCGGCGGGGAAGCGGGCGGCGGTGGCGGGGAAGCGGCGCCCAACGGCGGCGGCGGCGAGGGCGACGGGAGCGACGGCGGCGACGCGGGCGGCGATTGCGGCGGCGGCGATGAGGATGGTGCCGCCGCCGCCGCCGCCGCCGCCGCCGCCGCCGCCGCCGCCGCCGCGCCCCCGCCCGACCCGGCGGCGGTTGCGGAGGCGAAGAAGTTGGAGGCGCGGCGCGCGGAGGTGAAGAAGCGGCTCAAGGCGGAGCAGGAGAGCGTGCGGCGGCACACGCAGACGATGGGCGAGCGCAAGGGGAGCACGCGGCGCCAGGTGTGGAAGGAGGTCCGGCTGGTTGCTTGCACAGCGTCGGCGGCGCTGCAGGTGACGCGCCGATTGCAACGCGACATGGAGGAGGGCGCTGGTTCGGCGGAGAAGGCGTGGGCGACGGCCGAGCCGCTCGTACATTCGGCGTTGGGAGGTCAGGGTGAGTGCGCTCATGACTAGGCGAGGGCGAAGGCCGAGCCGCTCACGTTCGACTTTGTGATTCTCGACGAGGCGAGATCTGGGGAGATACAGCGAGATCTGGGGAGATACAGCCGAGAGAGAGGGAGATGTAGGGAGACGAGGCGCCGGAGCCGGACTTTTGCTAAGCAGGCGGCGGCGATGCTCGAGCCAGACGCCGTCGGCTGCTTGCTGCACGGCGCGCGCGCGGCGCTGCTGGTGGGCGACCAGCTGCAGCTGCCTCCGTTCTCAAAGTGGAAGGACGCGGACACCGCGCGGTACACGGTCTCACTCATGGCTCGCCGCCCCTAGACGCTGAACACGCACTCTTCTCTTCCGACCCGCGCTCGAGAGGACACGTCCTCAGCCGTACTCGACCGAGCTGTATTCGTACCCCTCGTACTCACACGGCGCTCTGCAGACTCTGCACGATGCCGTCTTCCCGCCCTGATGGTTGGTGTATTCACGTAGGCTCGGCTCGCCGCCGCCCGCAACCCGGCCGCCTCCCCCTCCCTCGGCCGCGGGAAGGGGGCCTCGCCGCTGCTGGGCAAGGGCGGCAAGGGCGCCGGCCGCGGCGTTGGCCGCGGCGCCGCTGCCGCACCAGGCGTCCCTGGCGCGGTTGCGGGCGAGCCTTACCCCGGCCAAAAGACATTTATGCTCACGGAGCAGTACCGGATGCACCCCGCCATCAACAAGATTGTCTCTTCCACCTTCTACTTCAACAAGCTCATGACGGCCCCGTCGACGGCGCGCGCGCGGCAGCACCCTCTCCCCGCCTGCTTTGTCAACGTGACGGGCGGGCACGAGGAGTTCCAAGAGCGCTCCTGCTTCAACAAGAAGGAGGCGGAGGAGGTCGTCTCGCTCGCGCTGCACTGCGTCGAGTACCTCGGATTCTCCCAGGAGCGCATCAACGTCCTGTCTTTCTACAACGCGCAGCGCGACATCCTCGAGCGCATGCTGGCGCGCGCGCAGCTGGAGGACGTAGCCGTCCTGTCCGTCGACTCGATGCAAGGGCGCGAGGCGGACGTCATCATCCTTAGCTGCGTCCGAGCGGACGTCGCTGGCGGGCTCGGCTTCGTCGCCGACGCGCGGCGTGTGAACGTGGCGCTGTCCCGCGCGCGCGAGTCGTTGGTCGTCTGCGGCTCGTCGGTCTGCCTCGAGGTTGAGCGCATCTGGCGGTCAGGATGCACCTCGAGTCAGACAGCTGTGAATAGTATAGCTGTGAACAGTACAGCTGTGAATAGGTCGGCCCTCAAGGGGATGCAAAAGTTCGCGTCGGCGCGGGCGTGCCAGGACGGCTTCGAGGCCAACCTCCCGCCAAACTGGGCGATGCCGCGGCTGCTCTCGCCGGCGCCGAAGCCTGGCGGAGCGCCCCTCGGCCTGGTACCAGTCATGCCCTAACGATGCATGGCGCGCGATGCATATAGGAGCCGAGTCTCGCGGAGCGCTCCTCGGGCGCCGACGGCGACTTTGACGAGCCCGAGCCCGAGGCGGAGCCGGGCGCGGAGCGGTTCGAGCAGCGCGATTCGGGCGTGCCCGACGCGTGGGACGCGAGCTCTGACGACGACGCGCCGGCCGAGGAGGAGAAGCCACCGGCGGCGATGGAGGGGACGGTCTCCCTCAGCCCTTCCCTCTGAGCGCGCGCCTTTGGGGAGGGAGGGAGGTCGGATGGTTCGCGCTGCGGGTCGCGGCGGAACAGACAGTCAGCGGCGGTTGGATGCGTGCTCGGCCCTTGATTATTTCAAGGAAGTACATGATCTCTGGCATATTCTATCATCAGCGCGGGACGGGGAGGGAGGGGGGTGGATCCGTAAATCCGTAATGTCCGCAAATCGTGTAACAAAAAACCACGAGAGACTCCCCCCCGCCGCACCCACGACCCAGCTAAAGCCGTACATCCCCTACAAGGCAGCTGGAGCAGGCAGAGACACAGCACTCGCGACACGCTGAGAAGCCGGAGGCTGGCCTCTCCAATGCTCGCGCAACGCTGTCTGACTCTGAGTGGCACACAAGATTATTTCAAGGAAGTACATGTGCACTTTAATTGACGCGAGATAAACCAAAGTGCTCTGGGCCGGCGCGGGGCCCCCCGGAGGCACCGTGCGCCGCGCCGCAGTGCGGAAACGGGGCTCCGGCTCCGCTAGTCTCCGCTAGCACCGACTTCCCGATTAAGCTAGGTTAATCAGAGGGCAGATTTGGAAAGATCTCGAGGAGTACATACAGATAGACCCTCTAACCATCAGAAAACTCCGACCTGATCGGTCGTACTGACCGCCGACAGATCACTCCAGACAGCAGACAGGCCAACGTCTGCACGCGGCCGGCCGGGCGAGAGGCTTGACACGATCCGACCCTGCGACCCTGACGCTGCTGCTCTAGTTATCAGCCATGGACTGCTGACTGCTGCCACAATGTGCGACCTGTGCTGGCCCACTTGGCGGCCTTCCCGGTCAGTGGTGAGGCGCAGTTCAGAGCTGTCGATGGCGCGATGCCGCACTGGTCCCACATTGGTGACACGAGACCACCAAGTTTGCCGGTCCAAGAGAGAGGCACCGGCGCTGTCCTGAGAAGGTGCGTGGTCCCTCTTGACTGCCCATGCGCGCGAGGCTGTGTAGGCATAGCCTCGAGAGTGCCAGCAGCCAATCCGAGGCAGTTCGTGACGCGCATTGCGCCAGAAGCGTGCACACGATGGAAGGACACCTTCCTACTGGCCGTACGATCAGGTCGTCACTGAATGCTTGATACTAAGGCCGCGAGCTATGCAGGTGATCAATTGTGCATCATGGCACGGTCAGCTGCGCCGACAGGCTGTCGCAAGGCGTGATAGCATGGCCGCAAGTACGCCGAATTCCCATGAAAACAAATAAAAAATCGCCGAAAAAAATCCCGAAAAAATCGGCGCCTGCGGCGGGCCATGGGACCCCATCTCCCCCCCGCATGGACACCCTCTGGGGCCCCCGCGCCGGCCCAGAGCCAAAGTGCTGGGGCGACTCCGGACTCGGAGCTGTACCTTCTGTGAGACCGCCGGGTCCGCGCTGTCGCCGTGTCCACGCTGTATATTTATTATTATATTTATTATCGGATTGACGTCGCGCTAACCCGAGAACGCGTCGGGCGTTTTAGGCGTTAGCTAAACGGATATATAGATTATAGTCGGTCTACACGCCACATTTTATGAATTTACGATTTGCAGCTGCACGCAGCACGGTACGCGATGGGAAAAACTCAATTAGCACTCCAAGGTGCCAAGAGAAACAAACAAGGGCACAACAAACAACAGACGACAGGAAGCAACGTGCGAGGCTAGAGCAGGCTTGCTCGTCCTCTAGCACACCCTAGGTAGGTAGGTAGGTAGAAAGGTGAAGAACAGCCAGGCTCGGACTGGACACCAACGCGGTATGGGTACACCCTGAGTTGGCGTATGTATGTATGTATGTAGGAAGGTGAAGAACAGTCAGGCTCGGACTGGACACCAACGCGGTATGGGTGGCGTACAGGAGCTGCTGTTCACAGCTGCACAGACCCGCGTACGCGGTCCTTTTCGGCGGGAGCTTCCGGCGGGAGTCGTCCCGTAGCAGCAACACCTGTGGCCGAGCTGCCCGCGCGCCGACAGCCCTCCGAGGCAAACAGCGAGATGCCACCGAAGCGCGCACGAAAGCGGCGCGGCGCAGCCGACAGCGTCACGGCCACGTATGCATACGGCGAGGACGCGGCCGATCCGCCTGCGACGGGCAAGCCCAAGCCCAAGACTCTCTGTGAGATCTTCGCGCACCTGCAGGGCGACACCGGCCCCAATGAGCTCCAGCTGTGGAATAGTGCGATGCGCCGTACCGTAAGCCGAGCCGAACGGGAAGGCAAGGAGGCGCACGACGCGCTAATGACGCGGGGGCTGGACGGCCGCCTGGCCGACGGCTCCATGCTCGTCAAGAGCAGCTTGGGCTACCCTGAGAGCAGCTCGCTCTCTTACCTGGAGCATCCATCTCTGATCCAGATGATGCTTGGGCTGGCGGCTGCCAACGGCGATCATGTTACTGAGGAGGAGATGCGTGAGCGGATCTCGTCGCAGATGCAGCGCGAGAGCGAAAGTAGCGCGGCACGCGCGCCCACAGCGTTGCCTTCGCGCCCCGAGGCCTCGACGCTGCTCTCGCGGTTCGACGCAGCCGCGACTGAGGACCCGCTGGCGGGGCAGAGTGAAGTGCCCGCGCTCGCACGCCTGCTCGGCGAGGCGCGATGCGAGGTCTCGTCCGACTTCTTGCACGGCGACGTCCGCTGCCTCGCCGCCGCCGGACCTGCCCTCGTTCTGGCTGGCGCAACCGGGTACAAGCATCGCGAGCCGTGGGCTAAGCGGTTCGCGCCCAAGGCGATCGAGCCGCGTTCTCTCGCCGAGTGCGCGGCGGCGGCCCTTGTCGGGGCGGCCGAGCCTGCATCCCTCGAAGCGTGCGCCTCCGCCCTGAGCGGGAGCGCGTCCGGGAGCGTGCTCGAGCAAATGACGCAATACTTTGAGGTGGAGGAGTCGTACACAGCGTCCGACCCGGCGGCCGTGAAGACGCTCTTCTCGTCGTCGGTGCGCTCTGCGGCCGTTGACCCGCACTCAGGCCTGACGTGGCTTGGCGAGGCGTGCGGCCGCCGGTTCAAGGCCTTCGATGCGGAGGGCCGGTGCTGCTACACCTTGGACAGCCCCTCGACCGACGCGCTGGCGGTCGCCGCCCACCATGGCGCGAGGGTGCTCGTCGCGCCGGGCGGGGCCGGCAAGCTCGCCTTTTGGAACACGGCAAGCCTGGACGCGCGCACTGGCGGCGTGCGGCAGTACCGTGGCGAGGGGCCATGGAGAGAGCGCGTCCTCACTCTTCAGGTGCTCGAGGGATCGGAGGAGGCCGACGTCTTGAGCTTCTCCGACGCGGAGGGCGTGTGCTGGCTCGAGGAGGTGGAGGGGAAGGTGGACGTGACCAGAGGCGAGGCGCCCCACGCCACGAGGACCGTTGAGGCCGGCGAGCACGCCAACTCCTTCTCGGCGATCTGCGACGTGGGTGACGGCAAGCTCGCCCTGGCGGCCAACGGGCGAAGCCGGGGCGACGGCACCCTCAACGCAGAGGTCATCGCGGTCTTCGACGTGGCCGCCGGCCGGACCAGCCGCCTCTTCGGTCACGTCCCCGCCCCGGGCGGGTACATACGGCAGGTAAACGCCCTCTCCTCCGCCCCGGAGCTGGCCGGAACCCTTGCCTCTGGCTGCTCCGACGGCACCGTGAAGATCTGGGACGTGCGCGCCCGGCGGCCAACGCACACCTTGCTCGGGCTCGAGGACAGCCGGACGGAGGGGATTGCGGCGGTCGCACTCGTGGCGGGCGGGGGCGGCGGCTGGCCCTTTGTCTTCTCCTCCTCCCCCGACGCGGCAATCAAGCTGTGGGATCTCCGCGCCTCCGGACGGTGCCTCTATGAGCTCGCCACGGGCAACGCGCGTGTCGACTCTCTCGTCTGGCACTCCGAGTCGCGCACCCTGCTCGCCGTGGCCGAACGTGGCGAGGCGCCGCGCAGTGGCGGCTGGGGCGGCGACAGCGACGAGGAGCCTGAGGACGAGGACTGGGACGCCTGGCCTACGGACGCGCGCCATCGGGAGGACGACTTCGGCGTGCGGTGGGACCTGCCGCACTCTGGTAGCAGTGTCGTGCTGCAGTACCGCTTCAAGGGGTCTCCTGCGCAGCCGTCGCGGACAATGAAGAGCTACTTCTCCAAGGGCAACGAGTCGGTCGCAAAGTGGAGGAGTATTGGCGAGGCATATGCTTGGTGACGCGGCGGTGGGACCCCGCGAGCCGGCAGTGTCGTGGGGGCGATGCATGTGGACGCATGCGAGCCGTTTGGGCTGCATGACGGCCGTGCCCACCTAGTACAGTACTTGTGGCATGCATGGATGCGTGCTCGTTTTAGGGTACAACAACAGCCGCCCCCCTGAGTAGACATGCAAATATGCGCCCCGGCTGTAAACCCGGCCTCCCCCCCTCTCACGAGTCCTCCGGCAGAGCACGACGGAGTTGCACCCCCCCCTTCCCCCCCCATGCCCCATGCCCATCCCCCCACCGCCTCCGGCTCCGCCGCAGACCCTCGCGTAAGGCCACTGCGGCCGTCTCGCGTCCTCGCTGCCTCTCCGCCCGCGCCAGCAAACCATCAGACCCCCCGGGCCCCGCAACCCCGGGCCCGACCCCCCCCCCCTCCCCGCCCCCTCCCGAACCCCCCCCACCCCTAGCCCGTTGGCGCGAGGCGCGGTCAGCGGCGCCAGGTGCCGAGGTAGTCGTCGAGCGAGTGCTTCGCCTGCTCACAGCGGGGCGCGCGTGAGCATCTTCCTCTCGTCCCACACGCCACGCGCGGGCCACGCCGCCTTTGCGCCCGGCGGGCCCCCGCCCTCTGGCGCGGGCAAGGGCTGCGCCTCGAAGGCGCCGCCGCGGTAGAGCCTCACAACCTCCGCCGCGACCCACCTAATTCGTCACGTACATTCGGAGTCCGCGCTGAAGGAGGCTGCAACCTCACGACCTCCGCCGCGACTCGCCGGCGCTTGCGCCCCTCCCGGTGCAACACCTGGCCGTGCGGCAGGAATGGGCTGGCGAGCCGCGTGGCCGAGATTACCCGAGATTGCCCGAGATTACCCGAGATTACCCGAGATTACCCGAATGGGCTGACGAGCCGTGTGGCGAGCCGCGTGGCCGAGGTACACCCACACTCGAAGCCGAGATGTCGCGCCGCACCTGCACGTGCTCGCCCAGCGCGGGCAATCTCGGGTAATCTCGGGTCCTCTCGGGTCCTCTCGCTCCTGCACGTGCTCGCCCAGCGCGGGCAATCTCGGGTAATCTCGGGTACTCTCGGGTAATCTCGCTCCTGCACGTGCTCGCCCAGCGCGGGCAATCTCGGGTAATCTCGGGTCATCTCGGGTAATCTCGCTCCTGCACGTGCTCGCCCAGCGCGGGCAATCTCGGGTAATCTCGGGTCATCTCGGGTAATCTCGCTCCTGCACGTGCTCGCCCAGCGCGGGCGGCGCGTCCTCCTCCGCCGGCGCCGCTCCGCCCTCGCTGCCCGACACCCCCTCCCCCTCCCCCACGTCCTCCTCCTCCTCGCCCTCCTCGCTGCTCGCCGCGCCTCGCCCGTCCACGAACGACCGACGCGCCGCCGCAGCGACGGCGGCTGCTCGCCTCCCCCGCGGCTCGCCGCCGGCATTCACTGCGCCGGCGGCGCTGGCAGCGGCGCCGGCGGCGCGGGAGCGGCGGCCGCGCTGCTCCGGCGGCGGCTGCGGCCAGCGCCACTCCGCCCCCCGCTCCTTGCGGCCTTGCTTGCTGGTGGGGTTCGCGTAGTCCTCCAGCCACTCGCCCCGCTCGGACCGGCTCTCAAAGCGAACGCGCACGCGGAAGGAGCCGTCGCGCCACACCGACACGATGCCCGCGCGCACCCACTCGCGGTTGGAGCCGTCGCTCTCCTGGACGGCGGCCCGAGAGTACGCGAGATTACCCGAGAGTACCCGAGAGTACCCGAGAGAACCCGAGAGTAGCCGAGAGTACCCGAGACTACCCGAGAGTACCCAACATTACCCGAGATTACCCGAGAGTACCCGAGAGTACAGCACGCTCTCCTGCACGGCGGCCTCAAGAGGCATGCCGGCGACGACCCCGTGCCGCGGCCAAACCGCCGCCTCGAGCTCGAGCAAGCGCAGCGCCAGCTGGGGCAGCGTGACGCTCTCCTCGAGCCTCGCCCACCTGCTCTCACAGCGGGGCAGTGAAGAGACGCTGTTCACAGCGCGACGCCCTCCTCGAGCCTCGCCCCCACCAACTCGAACGCCAAACCCGGCCCGCGCGGCCCTCTGCAGCCGGCACCTGCTCACACTCTCACAAGCCGTGAACGGCGGGCCGTTGGAAAAAAGACAGCGCCGAGCAAAGCGGCGCCGCGTCCCCCAGCTGCCTCATCGCAGTCTTCAGCTCCGCAGCGCCAGTCGCAGCCTTGACACTCCGCCGCCACTGCACCCATCCTGCCGTGCCGGACCCGTCGCCGCCGTCGCCGCCGTCGCCGCCGCCGCCGCCGCCGCCGCCGCCGCCGCCTCCGCCGCTCCTCCTGTCACCGCAGCTTCCGGCTGCGCTCGTGGGGGAGGTGTCTGCCGGGCGGAGGCGGATGGCCTCGGGCGGGAGGATCAGCCGCCGGATGTGCTGCCGCGCCGCCTCGGGCGGGTCGATCGTCCACAGCAGCTCCGCGCGGCTCGCCTCGGGCCACAGCAGCCGCACGAGCACCACGGCGGCGAGCGTGGCGAGCAGCAGCGGCCGCGCGCCGAGACCTCGCTGGGCGAAGCGGGAGGTGGTCGCGTGCGGGTCGCACGTAAAGAAGATCGGGAGCGGACCCGGCCAAGGTTAGGCCGCGCCGCCGCCGAGCAGACTGCGGAGCGGGATCGGCGCGTCGAGAGGCGAGGCGGCGATCAAAGCGCGTCGACGAGGGGTCCGGCGCCGCGCCGCGCCGGGAGGATGCACGGAGGATGCGCCGAGGCGTGGCCGAGGCATGGGGGCGAGAGGGGCGAGAGAGACAGCAGGCTGCAAGCAGAGAGCGCCCGGCGGGCAGTGGGCGAAGAAAAAAGAAAAAAATCCTAAGCACTGCACAAAAAAAGACAGTCTTTCGCAAATCGATAAGGAATGGCCTGGGAGCCCCAGAAATCGCCCCGTATTTTTTGGGGCGGGTGCGAGGCGAGGCGAGGCCTGTGTGGCGGCTCCTGGGAGGGGCTAGGAGAGGGGCGGGCTTGGCGGGAGAGGGGTCCGCGGGCGGCGCGAGCGGGCGTCCGGTGAGCGGTGTGGACGGGGCCGTGCGTGGTTTTGCGAGATTCGACCGCGGGGCGGCGCCGTGGCCGTCGGGAGGCGAGGGATCCCGCAGCTGCTGTCCCGCACTGCTGCAGGCCGCCTGGCAGGCGGTGTCATGGCGCCCCGTGAGGTGCGCGGGGGAAGCGAGCGGCGCCGGGCCTGCCGCGCGGGGGCGGGCGGGGGCGGGGGCGGCGAGGTGGGCCCGTGCGAGCTGCTTTAGCACCTGTAATAAAGTCGGTCGTCCAAAGTCGAGCAGAGGGCCTGAAGATTTGCAGCGCGCGCGGGAAGGGTCATGGTGGTCGGTGGTTTTGTCGGACGAGGGCGATCCTGGGGGCTGCGGACATCTCCTGCCGATCCTCCGCACGGCTCTTGGTCGCGGGTTGCGCGGGTCGCTCGTGGGGCGGCGTGGGGTCCGTCCTCGCGCGGGCTCTGAAGCGAGGCGATTTTCGCCCTCCCGCGTCGGCGTTTTGAGGGCCTTCCCGAGGGCTTCAGGCGGCGCGGGTTTGATGGGGCGGTAGCGCGGGGCGGCCTCCACCGTTTTCGCGAAAGCAGCGTTTTTCGCGCGCGCCGGCGCTCGCCCCGGGAAAGTTGCCTCGCTCCGCTCGTCAACTTTCTCTCGGGCGAGAGTTGTACGTGCGGGTGGCGGCAATGAATCTCTCTCCCTCTCTCTCTCTTCCTGCGCGCGCAGCGCGCGATTTTTTCGCGAGGTTGACCGTTTTATCGACTTTTGAGCCCTTCTTCGAGCCGTGGCGGGGGAGCGTGTAACCCTAACTTAACCCTAGCTCTCGACGTGATCCTAACCCTAACGTCATGACGGTGTGCCACCTCTAACCCTAACCGCAACACTACCCTGGCTAACCCTAACGACACCCGGCAATCTTTATGCTTGGGGCGCTCGAGAGCGCCGCGTGGGCGAGGAGAGCCGGCCGAGCTCGCCGGAGGCGGTCTCGTGGCGAAGACGGCGGCGGTGAGATGGAGGGTTGCGGCGGGATCGAAGGCATTTTTTCCGTCGGCACGGCGGTCGGCCACCGCCGATGCGAGGCTGCGCCTCGCCTTTGCTGCTCGGCGCAGCGGGTGGTGACGCTGTGACCGAGAGAGCCGACGCAACACCGAGAGTCGCGACCGCGCGGTGTCGAGGTGACGTGACAGCGAAAAGAGCACGAGAGAGGCGGCCGGCGCTCCGAGTCGATGAGCGAAGACCCTAGCAGCGACAGCACGAAGCGTGAGCGAGAGCGAGCGGGTGCGGGTCAGGTGGCGCTGGTGTCGACTCCTGCAGAGCGAGGCAGTGAGTGCGATGGCGGCCGCAGAGCAGTTTCGGAACCGGCGGTGGCGAGGGCGGCGGCAAGTGCAGGAGAGCGAGTCCGTCGCATGCACACGGAAATGCCATGGCTACGCAGTGGGTGGTGTGGACGGAGCGGAGGCGTTGCGTGGGTGCACGCTGCGACGCGCCTGCGCGAGCGTGAGCAAATGGCGAGCGAGCGAGCTGTGCCGTCCGCGACCGAAAAAGAATTTTGCAGGGCAGCCGGTAAAGAATTTTCGACAAAAGGCGGTCGCACGAAACGATTCACGCGACAGGCGAGGCAGGAAAATAATTGGAACCCGGAAAACGAAGAATCGACGCGCCGAGATGGATGCGCTGAGAAGAAGAAAAACATTTCTCAGCCGCCATTCAAAGGCCGTGTGTCGCGTGTGCTGCGCTACACGCTCGGCGCTGCTAGCCCGGCGAGGAGCGCCTTTGGGGCGGCGAGAAGGCGCCTGGAAGGCGCCGGACGGCATTCACGACTCGAGGTGCGAAGAGACGCCGTTCGCACTTTGATCTTTGTGCCACGAATAGGGCTCAGATCGCCGACTCACGAGACGGCCATCGCGGTGCGTGTGCAGCACGTGCTCCTCTGCACGCGCCGCGCTCTCAACGCGGCGCGCAGCGCCGCTAGAGCGGCTTGACGGCGAAAAAAAGACTTAGCGGCTTCGA